ACACATAGCACACATAGCACACATAGCACACATAGCACACATAGCACACATAGCACACATAGCACACATAGCACACATAGCACACATAGCACACAACGGCATGGCACGGATGGATAGGCATACTCGTACTACGTACTACTGTAGCAGTTCGTCATTGTTTTTTATCCGGCCTGCCCTGCCCCTGCTGTGTAACCCGTAACTCGTACTGTGTGACAGACAGAGATCATCAGATGAAAGGCCCGTCATTTCCCCTCTGCCCCCCGTTTGGCACGCATGGGCAGTCATGGCATTCATGGCAGTCATGGCAGTCATGGCAGTCACAACGGCACTTGGCATACAGGCCAGGGACAGGGACAGGGAACAGGAAGAGGATGAGGACGAGCGTGACAGGACAGGACAGGACAGGGGGCGCAGGGAGGGCATGGTCTCCCCCGGGGGCGTTCGTGGTCCTCGATTTGCCCTTTCGACCTGACCCGGGTCGAGAACAGGACGATTACGAGTACTCATGTACTATACTTGTGATTGTGACAGTGACTGTGGATGTGAATGCGTAGGACAGCGGGGCCGCACGTACTGTAGGCTACCGACGTAATGGGATCTACAGGCACCGCATGGCATGGGCGTGGCATCGCAAAAGACAAATGGACACGGGCGGGGGAAACTCCCGTTCCAAGCTGCGCACAAAGTACTCCGTACCTTTGCTCCAGCTCAAGCCGTGAACTAGGAGATCTCGATCCGGTCATCGAGAAGGGTGACGACAACGGAGTAGTCGTACATAACGTTGTTCGAGTACATCAGCTAAATGGCTCGATAGCTCAATATATCAACGGTACCCAGAGTTGGAGCTGGTTTCGTGCCGTACCTCGTAGCCTGCTGTGTATACCGCCTGCTTACTCGCGATCCCTGTTAACGTGCTCGGTGTCCTCAAATGTAAGAGAGATACCGTACGATACTGCCGGGCATGTCATTTTCATGTTCGACCCTTGACCATTGGTCCTTGGAAGCGAAAGTGCGAGTGACATGGCGTGGATGATCACGACGAGGTCGCGATCAACTGCCTGCCCGAGTACGAATAGAGCTTGAGTTGAGATTGTTTCCCACGGGAAAGCGGGAATTTGCGGGAGGTTCTGTCGAAGTGCTGCTTACAGAGTAGTTTCCCAGGAGAGAAAAGTCATCTCTATACAACAGGCCGGCGACGCAATACCTCCACACCTCAGGCCCCATCACAGTACGAGTACTGTGCTGAGGGTGGCTTGATACTTCAGGCCACTTTCCACCGTCTGCAAAAGCCCAGTGAACCTTGATGGCTGGTTACGAGGGCCAGATCTGGAAGAATTCCGAGGTGCCGAGACCTGGCTGTCCAGGGGCCAGACCCAGGCACTGCATACGAGAACACAATTGTGCGATGATGCTGAGCTCTCGTATGGTTACCTTCCTGCTGCCGGGCATCCTCGCACTGCCACTGCGTCCACCCCCACGGCGTGAGGACCCTACTGTCGTCGAGGAACAACCCACAGCGGGCGTTCTGAGGAATTCTCAACGTCCGGCTCAACTTGTCACCCACGTTTTAGCCTGTTTTTAGGGACCACTTCCTTTGCTCCAAGCATGAATGTTAGTGTTTTCGACAGAGGCACTTTGCATGGCCACGGTTCTCATGCTCGTTGCCACCACCGGCGGGATAGACCATGCCGGTACGGCTGACGGGATTTGTTCGGCTCGCTGCTTGGCATGGAGACTGGTGGCACCGGTGGCACTCGTGCAACATGACTTGCATTGATGCGAGACGCTCCGACTGACAGATAGGGACGTTCGCCCAAAGGTCTGGTTCGAGTCCGCTGGCAGCGCCTCGAGCGAACGCACGTCAAACCTCTTGGCCTGCAAATAATTGGCACACAGCAATACTTGACAGCGGGGACATTGGTCTGAGGCTGCCTGAGATCTGCCGCAAACGTGGGTCCAGGATGCTGATACTGATGGCGATGGCGATTGTGATACTGCAGGATGAGTGACACAGAGTGTGGCCTGCAGCTACAGCGCTGGTTCCGCTCCGGAGACCCTGCATTCAGCTGTCCCACGCAGGTGCAAGGGAGTTTGATAATGCATGATAACAGCAGGGGATGAAGACGGGTGAGAGTCGACCTTGGCTGGACGATACCTTTTCTTGGGTGGAGTTCAGCGCGTGGTACTGCTTGCTGTACGGAGCATAGAGCCGTTGCACAATGACGGTTTCAGAAGGTGCCAATGGGTACGGATGAGTGGAAAAGATGGTCGGTCATGTATTGGTGATACTGTATGCGTGCATCTTTGTTATCGTGCAACAACGTGTCGCGGGCCGTCCGAGTCGCTCGCAAGCAACCAAGCGTGTGGAAGGTTTGACGGTCAATTGGTCGTTCACTGATGGCATATCACCGGTCAACGATCCTGGTTCTTAGCGTTCTGAGGCGTTTCGAAAAGGGACGGAATTTGCATGTGCACAGAGGTTGGAGGCTGGTAAAGATTCGAAACAGGAGCAAGCACTTCTTGACGGTGAGGGAAGGGTTCATGCGCACAACCACCGCAGGCTCTAGGAATCGTCCGGTTCGACTTATACAGTACTGTTTGCTATGCACACACCCGTCCTTCCGCCTGCCACGGGTGGACGGTTGACGGGTGGAGATCCATGGTCGTACGCGGCTGTGGTCAGAGTATTGTGCTATGCAATCTTCCACGCATTCCACCCAGGTCTCGAAGGTGCATCGCAACTACCCCCGCGTCGTCCCTGCTATTCCATCGTCGTGTGTTGTTTGCTTGATGCGCACTTCCCTACACATGTTGCGCCGTTTGCTGGCATATCCGTGTCCAACTTTCTTCTCCACTGTCAGCCCGGAAATCGGATACACGCAAGGAGGATGGAGGGGAATTAACATCGACAGAGAGCATGGATCGCACGTATCAATAACTGCATTGATGCTAACGGACCAGCAAGACAACCATCCATTTGTTACCCAGCGCCATGCTCTGCAAATCCATCTACTGTATCTGCCGCAGCTAGGCAGTATGTAACCATCTGGCGCCCGGTGCTCCCCCGTCAAGCAACCATCTGCTATCCAAGTAACGCTCAATTTCTCCTTATCAAGGGCCCAAAACTGATGTACAGGGTAGAAAGAGAAGGCCGAGTTCAGGTGAAGATCCGTTGCATGATGCCGACACCTCGGGCCGGATGCGTGGGTGGAGAACTATACAGGTGAATTGAGCCATGTTATGCACATCTTTAAAAGTGAGGAGGCTCTGTTCACATGACTGCGATGAGCCCGATGGCCATGGCGAGGACACCACCTTGGAGCTTGAGGCTACCGGCACCGCTGTTAGGGTCTGGAGCGGTCGTGGTCTCAGTTGCGGTGGCGGATGAAGTGGATGACCTGGACTGGGAGCTTGTAGTGCTTGCCGAAGTTTCACTGTCGCTCGACGAAGAACTCGTGGCAGAGCTGCTCGAGCTGTCTGTGGAAGTGATCGTCGAGGTATCTGTGGAAGTGCCGCTGCTTGTGGCAGAGCTGTCTGTGCTGGTTCCTGTCGCCGTGGCAGAGTCGGTGGAGGTAGCAGAGCCGGTCGCGACGCCAGTGGCTGTCCCGGTCGCGCCTTGGATGCCAAAGTTGGGAGAGAAGTTGATGTTGGTAGGGTCTGTGTCGTCGATGATTTCAATCGTGTATACGTGGGAGTTGACGTCTTCAGGAGGAGGGATCTGAACGGTCGCTGTTCCAGCAGAGGCGGGAATGCCGGCTGCACACACGGCATGTCAGTACAACCCGATCTGATTTGAAATACAGTTCCAGGGCGCAATGCAGAGACATTCACTTACAAACTAGCACGAAGCCAGAGTCAGGAGTGACGGGATCCTGCTGCAGCTTGATGGTGACGGTGCCGCTCGACGGGTTGGTCCATTCAATCGTCAGGGGTTGGCCTGCCGTCACATCCAGCGTGGCAGCGCCAGCAGGAACATTGATGGCATTGTTCTGTGCGGAAACAACTGCTGCGCAGAGCGCGGCGACTGCGGCGAAAGCGAAACGCATGTTGGCGGACGTGGTGTATACGACGGGCACTCGGTGGAGATCAGGTATAGACGGCTGCGGCGACAAGGGGAATACAATCGAGAAGAGAGTTTCGGAGACAAGATGGCAGTGACAGGAAATAGAAGTCAGGAGGCAGCGGTAGCGACAATGGTTTATTGCGATTCAGAAACACCCACTTCATCCGGGGGCAATCTTCAGCGCGTCAACCATTAATTATTATTGACGCTGGCACTCCAGTCTGCCGCGACAACAGAAACCCTGGCCGGGCGTGTCGGCCGCTTAGTGCCCGGCTCCACGCCCTCTAGCAGTCAATCAGCACGAGCATGTCAGGGCGGCCTAGCTTGGAATGGAATAGGGGCAGGTTGCCCAATCTTCAATTAGGAGCGCTTGCTCAACCACCAACCGCCACCGCGGACTCCGGCGATGCCTTGGTGCCCATCCTTATTCCTCTGCGGCCAATGTTAACGTATCACTCGCATCGAATTTTCGCCGTCTTATTCCAGGCACCGCGTTGTGGTTGGAGGGATTTCAGAAGACCTCCAACTCATGAAGTTGTGTGTTCTGACCGTGGTGCAGCAGAGTAACCACCGAGTACGTAATTCGAAGGCTGTCGAGTCCTCGGATAGAAAACTCGACAGCTCTGCTGTGGCTGAGTGCCTCCAGCTGACCTTGTACTCGGCTTGCAAAACGCACAAGAAATAATTCCCCATTCGCTTCGACTATTTCCCAAGATCCCGAACATCCCCTGCTCGGTCTCACGGTCTCCCGCAGGCGTGACGGCACTCATCGTTACCATATGCTTGTCCGAAGGAGCACCGGTCTGCTTTTGGACACAGTCGTTTCTTCTCAAGACTGGAATCAAGCATCAAAAGAGGCAGCGGGTCCTGCCGTGGAGTGGATGGGCGCCTCATCTGGCATGAGTCTCGGTCAGCGGAGTTCTGGTCAGCAGATGCGAATCCCTCGAATCTTGATATTACCGGAGAAGTGGTTACATAGAACAGCAACATCTTGTCCGTAGCAGTGAGAGATGTCAAGGTCTCCGGGACGCTTTGTGTGCGGACACAGTACCTCGCATGCTCAGTGCAAAGTTCACCTGAGGTTCATAGTTCGAATAGTCGAGGCCGACTGCGCTTGTGTTTCCTTATCTCGGTTTAGCGACAGGAGCTGAACGTCCAGAAATTCACGATGCCTGCGACATCGCGGAGGCCGTCCTGCTTTTCACACGCGCAGCTACTGTAGCAAGCATGATGTACGATGTATTTTGCTTGTCATTGCAACCTAGAGCGGTGCCCGAAAGGCAGTGCAGATTGCATACCGGACTGTTTCTGCATGCTTCGAGACATGTCCGCAAACACCACGGGATATGTGCTCTCGTGGTTGAAAGCGAAGGCGTTCGCACCACCACCCACGTCTGCCTTGCAATCACCACTTGGCCCGACAGGTTTCCGGTTTCAGTCCGAGGAGCAACTGCATGCTCTGTTCAGCTGACGGCTCGTGCACCCCTCGTTCGGGCTTGTATTCCAGAAAGGTTATACTGTACGACCGGTGAAGTAGGTGAACGATGTAGGGGGAAATCTTATGGAGATGGAGCACACATTGCACTACATACTGGCGTGGCTGCGATTCGACAGCGTCTTCTTGTCCGCTACTGGGACCATCTGGATAGAAGATCGCGATCCAACACAGTTCCCCTGCGCCTCTTCGCTTGTGGATGTCGCGATGACCTGTCATTTGACCCCTTGGTGCAAGCCATAAGCCGCATTCCAAGTGTGAATGGCAGGGGAATTTCTTAAGGATCCTTGTCAGGCCACGCGAGACACCGGATCACGTCCGGCTTCTTGTATCTTGCCTCTGACATTACATGGGCGACTGTAAGCTGCAACGCGAGAATATCGTCTCCACAGGCCATCAAAGTCTGCGCCAGGGGCGTCTTAGACACCAGAGCCTCTATGAGGATAACACGTCGCAGTCTGAATTGACATTCATGTTTGACTTTAGCCGAGCCTGATCTCTGCGAAAGGGCTTCGCACTTGCTACAATTGATCGCACGTTCTGTCTCATGGCGCCGTCCCTTTCTGCAAGCAGGGCATTCATAGGCGATCTAACAATCTTGTGGCACCACCTGCACCTTAATGCCATGAACGGGTTGATATCCCAGACCACTTGACCCCGTCTGTTTGCTTGGCCCCGTCGGTTCGTCGGCAGCGTACATCGCTTGGTCTCGCACGCCGGCATGAACTTTTGTCTGTTTAACGAGAACCACGAGGGCGCTTCGGTGGAGTTCACTGGCAAGCAGGCGGACTTGCCAGCGTATGAGCGGTTCGAGAGCAGCCGGGGGCTTGCGGTGTGTACGTCAAAGACAGCCAAAGGACGAAAGGAAGAAGCGCGACCTGTCAGTTCTAGACCGGCAGCAGGCGCGCCACGGGAATTCCAGATGTCGCAGGGCTTACCTTCTAAGCCGCAAGGACATTCTGGCAGCCACGGCAGGGTTGCCATACCCATGCACGGGGTCAGTTTTAATCTCAACGCGCAGACCACGGCGGCACGGGTTCAGAAATGAGCATCATTTCTCGAGTGACAGGCATCAGAATATTCATATACATAGCTGAACAAGTGGCAGCGCCAGAAGCGCAGGTCGACTCTGCCACTTTCACCCGACCACCACCTTCTCTTCGCGTTGACTTTTTATTGCGGTCTGCACGATAGCGTTTCATTCGATCCGCACATTTTCATATTCGAGTCCCCATACCTAGCACATTCTCATTCGCCGTCTCTCGCTTAAGCAGCCTTTCATGACCAAGCGAGCGACCGACCTATTGTGCAGAGCGAGGAACAGGTTTAGGGTCATCATCGGGCATCCAGGGCACCGCGCAGCCAAAATTGTCGACTCGGTTAGCCCTCCTGAGTCTGAGATCGCCCGTTAAGGTTTTGGCAAGACTATCGACGGCTCGCAAAGACATGCAACAGATTCCGCAGCGGAGCAATTACTAAATCACCACGTCTGCAAGCAGCATCCGAAGCTTCCAACATGCGAGTTTCAAGGCACGCCTCTCTGCCCAATGATGTCGCCGTGGAGACATTACCACCCGTCGTCCTTCGCAAGGTGAGTTGACTGCATCCGTGTTCCGTGTTTGCCGCTCCCTGTACCTGGGTGTGCACATCCCCCGGAAAATCATCAGCAGAGCCCCTTGCTCAGGGCTTCCAGCAGCTTGGGGATCGCCGTGGTGATCAAACATGCTTTCCAGCCCGAGCTTCAGCTCACACCGAAGAAAGGTGCACATCACTGCCGTTTACGAGCAGAGCCCCATCCAGGCATGGAGCACATCGCCACGTCATTCCACCACATCATCTCAAGCCCCCAAGAGCTACTTGGGACCGGCCCCTCGGGCTTGGTACATTTGGAGTTTAGGGGCGACACTCCTTGCCTAAAAGGGAGTCACGGGCACCCTCTAGGCTTCTTGGTCGCGGCACGGTCCTCCGACCTCCAAGCAGGGACCACCTCCTTCTTCATTATCTCCTCCACCACAGTTGGACTTGTCTCGCGCAACCTCTGGCAGCTGTCTGGCTCATTCGATCGCTTATTCTGCAGGTCCACGAGCTAACATGTGTGTTACACCAGTATTTTAGCAGCTTAGAGCGTCTCAGGCTGGCCGAAGATGGCAAACACCATTCACGCCCCCCTTCTCGACTGTCGATTTACCCTTCGCACGATATCGGTGTCACAATCAAGGGCGCAGACAGCTCTACCATCGTGATCGACGGCTTCGTACAGACAGTGCGGCTTGGCAACAGCAAGAAGCTGCGCAGGAGGAGGAACTCAACAGCGGACATCACCCCGGACACTGTCGCCTGGTTCGCTTCACTGCCCCCAGCGGTGCAAAGGAAGCTCTTCTCGAAGGAAGAGTGCTCCTTCCTTTCACGAGAGAAGAACACCTTGATTCTCGACGCCGCAGACGAGACCCTTCGTCGCCGTAGCTGGCATCCTACACAGTTCACCGCTTTCGAACCTCGGCGTTCCGAAGACGACGACGACACCATCGTGGACAGTGAAGACCTCAAAGACGACGACCGAGTGGATTCTGCAATCGGGATGGGCGACTACTCAATAGACGGCTTCCGGTGGCTGGACGATGAAGGAGACCTGGATCTCAAGCTGGACGACTACCATCTGGCCATTGCCGAGACCAATCGTCGGACAATATCTGCATCAGGCCCTGTAAGACGCCGTTCGAGACGAAACCCTTCCTTGTCAAGCCTCTCCATCCGTCGTGGCCGGTCGTCCACATCATCGAACCGGCCAGTCGTGGAGGCACCCCCAACACCAGCCCTACCACCTATACCTCCTCACACTCGCGCTTCGTCATTTTCACTCAAGCACTTTCGCTCCCAGGCATCCATATCATCAATCGATCCTCGCGCGACTCATTATCAAGACCCAGCCGCTCGAATGAAGCTGCGGCTCTATCTGGCCTCCCCACAGAAGTTTGACGAGGCGGTCGAGTTTGGATTCCCGTCGATACAAGGCAAAGATTCTCGAACCCCGATCCGGCCAATGACAAGCCCACAGCCGAGACCGGAGACCAACAGGACCTTCTTTCATGACGACACGCCAGAACTATCAGGGGATGACGAGGACGACCCAGAGGAACCGGACACTCTTTTTGATCCACGGACCCCCGAAGATCCGGTCTTCCAGATGAACCGTCCGTCGCGGAAGGGTAGCGTCGACGGGTTTGCCAAAACGCTACGACCTTTTTCCATGCGGAGACCTACCGAGACATATTCCCGTGGACTCCCGTCGGATCGAGAGATGACGCTACACATGACTCTCACGCGACCAGATCTCCGCGCACCGGAGGAACTGCAGTCACAACATGATCCGCAGAAGGTCAACAAAATGCCACTGGAGAAGGCCGAACTACCACCGGAAGCCACGCCAGTCTCTATCTGGGACACGCTACCGCCTGAAGAATCCAAGATGAAGAGATTTCTTCGCAAACTGAAGCTCAAGTGAGCACGGGCACGACTTGTGAGGGACTGTTCTGTTAGTCGCTATTGCATTGTATTTGGGTGAGCGGCAGAGGAGGCATATCGATCACAGTGTCATTGAGCGTCGGCGTTCCGGCTGAATGTGTGCATTTCAGGCCACCATAATACATAACGTTGGGAGCAGGGAAAGGGCAGACACGCGGAACGACCCTGGCATATAATGGTGCGCGTGAGCCATTGGGGACTTGGAGAGGATAAAAAATGGCGGATTTGGGAGGATTAGATAGCTGATATAAGTCAACCGGTAGTGACATAAACAAGCTCGACACTTTTTGACCACATTTATCTGTACCGGGCAGTTGGTACGGATGTCTCGTGCTTGTGGTCGTACGTAGCTACGAGTGAAGAGTGAGCGAAGGAGGGAGCTTACAGGAGCTTGGTGTTTGAGGTGGCGACGCTTGCCACATTCGGCGGACCCTGATCTCGAGGATTCGTAGCGAGTGCGTGTCGAGTGAGCATGAGGAGACGAGGCGCTCAGCAACAATTGTTGGTCGCAGGCAAACGCAATTCGTGTCTCCATCAACCACAGTGTCCGTTTCGCCATTGATTCTTTTGGAGCGTTGTCTTTTGTGCTTTTCACATCTAACTCTTACTCCGCTCGATGCGCTAATCAAAGATGATAATTCGATCCTTCTGTCGCCGCGCTGTCGCCTCGTCACTTGCGCTCCTCTTACTGCTCGCCTCTTGTCCGCCGCCTGCGCAAGCGAAGAAAGATGGGCCGGCCATCTCCTCCACGATCTTCGATAACCCATTAGAGAACGTCTTCTACTTTGACGACTCGGACGTCGTCCTCGGCTACGATGGAGAGACCGGCACCGTCTGGCGCAGTCCTGACGCCGGCGAGACGTGGAAAGAAGTCAATGATCAAGGGCAGTCCGGAAATGTCTTGGACGTGTATCAGCACCCGTGGGACAATCAACGCGCGTACATCATCGGACTCGACTCGGAGCATTGGGTGACGACGGACACGGGCAAGACATGGACCAGCTTCTCGGTCGACCCAGACGATAACCTGGCCCGCTTCCGAAATGCTCCTTTGAGCTTCCATGGCCGAGATGCCAGCAAGGTGATCTGGAATTCCGAGCACTGCGTGGGCCTAGCTTGCATGGAAAGAGCTTTCTACACCGACGATGACTTTGAGACAATCAACCCTCTGGGATCTATGACACGAGGCTGCCAGTGGGCCGTCAGCACTCCGGAGTTTGCACAAGAGATCGCCCCAGAGGTCAGAGACCGCATCTTTTGCATTGTCGAAGGACTGTACTCGCCTTGGCCGAAAGACAACAGGTTGCTCGTCTCCGATGACTTCTTCACTCGCGATCAACTGGAGCCTGCGCTGGACGATGGCCGGGCCGTGACGGGGATCATCAGCATGGCGGCTGTGAAAGGCTTCTTGGTTGCCGCAGCGAAATCCGAGGGCACGGACGAGCTGGCTCTGTACGTGACCAAGGATGGCGCGCAGTGGCATCGGGCAGAGTTTGGACAGCACCGCATCAGCGAAGACGCCTACACCATCCTCGAAAGCACAAACTACAGCTTACAGATTGATGTGCTCGGATCTCGTCCCACGAACCCTACCGGCTACCTCTTTACCTCCAACTCGAATGGCACCTACTTCACTCGCAACATCGACCACACCAACCGCAACATCTTTGGAAATGTGGATTTTGAGAAAGTGCAGACGATCCAGGGTATAGTCATGGTCAATACGGTGCAGAATTGGAAGGAGGTTGAGGGCTCGACGATTCCTCAGAAAGAAATCGTTTCACAAATCAGTTTCGACGACGGAAGGACTTTTCAAGATCTCAAAGTCGGCGACAAAAGATTGCACCTCCATTCGGTGACAGATGCAAGGCAGGCCGGGCGGATATTTTCTAGTCCAGCGCCTGGGATCGTCATGGGTATTGGAAATACTGGGAAGTTCCTCAAGGATTACGAAGATGGCGATCTCTTTGTATCTGACGACGCTGGTGTCACCTGGATTGAAGGTCTGGACGGAGCTCATCTGTACGAGTTTGGCAATCAAGGCGCCGTCATCGTTGCCGTCGACGATGAAGAACCCACCAGCCACATCAGATACTCAATCGACCACGGCAAGACGTGGAAGAAGGCCGATCTGGGGGAAAAGGTCCGAGCAAGGTTCCTGACCACAGTCCCGGACTCAACAACGCTCAAATTCCTCATGATGGGTGCCAAGGGCACTGGTTCGAAGACGGAGTGGATCATGTTCAAGATCGACTTCGAAGGGCTGCATGAGCGGGCTTGTGTCGATAAAGACTTTGATCGCTGGCCTGCTCGTGTTGACAAGGACGGCAAACCCAGCTGTCTCATGGGACACAAGCAGTTCTTCAGGCGGCGCAAGGCTGATGCTGAGTGTTTCATTGATGAGGAGTTCCAGGATCCCGTGCCTGAATTCGAGCCTTGTGTTTGCACCAAGGCGGATTTTGAATGCGACTACAACTTTGTGAGAACCGAGGATCGAGAAGACTGCGTTCCTGCAGATGGAGTCACTCTCCCTGTCCCAGAAGGAGCTTGCAAGAATGAAAAAGACACCTTCAAGGGTCCGTCCGGCTGGCGACTGATCCCCGGCAACGAATGCATGCGCAAAGGCGGTGAAGAGCTTGATCTCGAGATCGAACGACCGTGCTCGGACTCGGTGAAAAGGCCAAGTTCGGGAGAAATTATTGTCCAGAAGACCAATTTCAACGCAGATCGTTTCTCCGAGTGGTACTACCTTGAAAGAGGCGATACTTCGATCGGCAACGATGAAACCATTGTCATGCGTACCAGCGAGCAGGATATCTTTTTGACGCGCGATCACGGCAAGACGTGGCAACCGATCCTGAAGGGAGAGCCGATCACGGCCATCGCACCTAACCCGCAGCATCACGACGCGGTATTCTTCCTCACTGGTTCAAAGGAAGTCCATTACACCATCGACCGAGGAGACAGATTCGACAAATTCTCTGCACCGGAACGACCGAGTACGCTGAGGCTCCCCACTATGAGGTTTCATCCAGAGTACAAGGACTGGTTACTGTGGTCTGGCGCGGTGGGTAATGACGATCACACCAACATCTGGCTATCCAAAGACCGCGGCGACCGTTGGGATGTAATGGTTCGCTACGGCAGAAAGTGCGAGTTCATGACTCGCGAAGGTCGAGCACATGGTGACCAGTTGATCTTCTGTGAACAATACGAGGATGAGAACCCCACCAAGAATCTTATGCTCATTTCCAGCGACAATTTCTTTGCCGACTCGACCGTCCACTTCCCTGACATTCTAGACTTTGCGACGATGGCGGAATTCATCATCGTCGCGGCCAAAACAGAAGATCGGCAAAGCCTGAGAGTCGATGCCAGTGTTGACGGAAGGACATTTGCGCCTGCCGAATTTCCGCGAAACTTCCAAGTCAAACACCAGCAAGCCTACACCGTCCTGGACAGCTCCACGCATGCCGTGTTCCTCCACGTCACTGTCAATGCGGTACAAGACCATGAGTATGGTGCCATCATCAAGTCCAACAGCAATGGTACCTCGTACGTCTACACTCTCGGAGGGGTCAACCGGGACACCGAAGGTTACGTTGATTTTGAAAAGATGCAAGGCTTGGAAGGCGTTGCTATGGTCAACGTCGTAGCCAACAGGGACGAGACCAACGATGGTGAGAAGAAGAAGCTGAAGTCAATGATTACTCACAACGATGGTGCGGAATGGGCTTTCCTCCCCCCACCCAAACAGGATGCACTAGGCAACAACTACCCATGCGTCGGCGAGGCCAACAAAGCGACGGCCAAATGCTCTCTACACATCCACAGCTACACTGAACGAGGCGATAAATCTGCCACATTCTCCAGCCCTAGTGCGGTCGGAATTATGATGGCGGTCGGCAATGTGGGCGATTATCTTGTCCGCAAGGACGATGAAGTCACCGATACGTTCATCACTCGCGACGCGGGCATTACGTGGCAATCGGTCAAAAAGGGAAGCTATATGTGGGAGTATGGCGACCAAGGCAGCATCATTGTCATCGTGAAGGAATCGCAACCGACGAAATCACTCTTCTACACCCTCAACGAGGGTTTGACTTGGAAGGAATTCGAGTTCTCGCCCAATGTGGAAATGCAGATCGATGCCATTACCACCGTCCCGTCGGACAACTCTCGCGCCTTTCTTCTCTGGGGTCGGGAACTTGGCTCTCAAGCAAAACACGGCATCTTCACCGTTCACGTCGACTTCTCGGGCCTCAAGGAACGCGAGCGCAAATGTGAACTTGACGAGAAGGACCCCGAAAGGGGCGACTATACCCTCTGGGAACCGAAGCATCCCATGCAAGACTCCAACTGCCTGTTTGGACACGTGGCTCGGTATCATCGCAAACGCGTCGATCGCGACTGCTACAACGGCAAGAAAATCGACCACCTCCACAGCATCGCCAGAAACTGCTCCTGTACGAGACAGGACTTTGAGTGCGATTATAATTATGAGATTCAAGCGGATGGGACGTGTCAGCTTGTGCCCGGTCTCCAGCCTGCCGATCACGAGGCGAATTGCAGGGACAACCCGGATCAGGTGGAATTTTGGTATCCCACCGGATACCGGAGAATCCCGCTGACAACTTGTCAAGGTGGCCGTGAGCTCGACAAGCTGGAATCCAGACCATGTCCTGGCCATGAAGAAGAATATGAGAAGAAGCATGGGATCAGTGGTGCAGGGCTCTTCTTTGCGATTTTCGTGCCTATTGCGCTGGCGATAGGGATTGGATACTGGGCTTACACGAAGTGGCAGAGTGGCGGGGGTGGATTCGGACAGATTCGTCTGGGCGAGGGATTCTCAGCTTCCGCTGGGGGTGCTGGCGGTGGCGATCCGTTGTGGATCAAAGTCCCGGTTGTGATTGTGAGTGGTGTTGTTGCTGTGGCCAAGGCCACGCCTTTGCTTGTGATGAGTTTGTTCCGGAGTGCGCGAGGGTATATGCCCCTCGGGGGCGGATCTTCTGGCGGCGGAGGGAGATTTGGTGTCGGGAGAGGCACGAACGTTGGAGGGTACGGGGCGCCGTATCGTTCGAGGGACGCGTTTGCGAGGAGAGGGCAAGATTACAGTCAGGTTGTCGAGGACGACGAGTTGCTCGGAGATGGGTTGGATGACGAAGAAGAGGTTTGAGGTTAAGAGAGTATCGTGAAGGACGCGGAAGTGGCTTCACCCTGCTTTGCAACGCTGTGGATGTGGCCTACCTCTCGGACCAGGGCCGGGGTGTAGAGGGGAAGAACAGGACAGTCGTTGAAAGGGAGCCTGTCGATGAACTTCACCCTGCCGCCTCTACGCACCCTTCACATACACATCGGTCCTTTGCTGGAAGTTTGGAAGCAGGACCCTTTGTATGAATGTATGTTTTCAGTATAGGCGTGGTATGGTACAAACACTACAGACATGACTTGTGCGAGAGATGAGATGAGATGCCAGGGAGTAGTCAAGTGTACACCGTGTGCGGCGCTCCACCTTTTGCATCGGTGACTCGACCTTGACCACAGCAAATATCCCTTCAACACAGACCTACCGACACCTAGTATTCTTGCTGGCGACACATGCTATCTACCTACGGGACCTACACAGTCCATTCGACAATCAATATCAGATGAGTAGAGCCTAAGCGTCCGACATCGGCAGCCTTTCCATCAGATAAGATCCTCCAAAGACGATATCAATCTGATATGGTCGTTCTCGAACGAATCCACACCCCTATCATTAAAGCAGCAACCCAAACTAATACTGTATGTGTGCACAACAGCGAACCACCCTCTCAGCTCTCAGCTGTCAGCTGTCAGCGACCTCATGAATCATCGATTCCGCACCACACCACACCCGATTTCGATTCCGATTCGATTCGATCCGGCACGGGAAAGAACAAAGCACACACGCACCACGAACCACGCACGTCCCTCGAAGATTGAGTTTGCGCGACGACAGGTGATACGAGCAATAGACAAGTAGGGTGGGGGAGCGGCGCACACGACCCGGTCATTTTCTCATTCCATTGTCGTCCTAATTCTCGTGCGGTGTGCGGCATGTGGCATGCGCGGACCAATCCGACGTCTGGCATTGTCATCACGGTGGTGAAGAGTGGTTGGTTGAGATGGGCGTGCGTGCGTGCGTGCGCATGCATATGTACATGCATGGATGCATGCATGTTTGCATGGATGGAGTGTGAGGAAGCGAGGCACGGCACGGCACCGGGGAGATAAATTACACAGGAGGGGCGGGCGAGGGATGGAGGGAGGGGTCCGTCACGCCACCATAATTGCAACGACGCACGTATGCGCACTACGAGTACCAGCTTGCCAGCCAGCCAGCCAGCGCACAATAGTGCTGCTATGTGACGCGAAGGCAACCTTGGTGAATCGGTGAATCGGTGAGTGGTGAGTGGTGAGTGGTGAGTGGTGAGTGGTGTGTGGTGAGTGGTGAGTGGTGAGTGGTGAGTGGTGAGTGGTGAGTGGATTGCCCCCCTTTCGACCTTCCTCTACGAATAGTCAATAGGCTACTCGTGCACGCAACGGGGATTGCATGCGCCCAAGTAAGTGAGCGAGCGAGCGAATGGAAGGGAATCTAAAGATGATGATGATGAGGACGCCGCACTAAGTTTGACAGCTGGATACACGCTCGTATCACATGTCTGTGTTGCATATCCCGTGTCGGGCTGGGTTGGGTTGATGGTTGATAGCCCCGGGACAGGGTTTTATCGGTGAGACGACGTGGCGTTCTGTGGTGTCGGTATCAGTACCACAGGCGGTCAGAGAAGAGTATGCTCTTTTTCTTTCGCGGGTATGTGTTTATCCGTTGGCATATGCGTGTGTGCATGTGTCCTTGTCTTTCTATCAGTGAGGATGAGTCGACACGTGCTCGAGTGTCTCTCTCGCAGGTGCTGCGAGGACGCGGACAGAGATCAGGGATGGGTGCTGCAGCACGGAACTTGATGTCGTGTGACGTGACACAATACAACAGACGCAGCATGGCTAACTGGGTACTGAAAGGAGAGCAGCATCGATAAACGAAGGAATACACGCCACGACTTACGGGCACCGAGCCATTAAGCAGCGAGCAACATTTCTTCTTCGGAGACTTTCCTTTGCGAAGCCTGTGTCCCCTGTCCTTGTCCTGTGTGAGGGAGGTTCCACTGCGCATCTTCATCCAGAGTCGAGGGTCACGGAATCCTAGGACCTAAGCATTGCAGTACTGGGGGAGGACGGTGCAACGCACCACAGTGACTGGTCTATGGTTCGCACAGTGCCTCCAAGGAAGGTCGTTTTGCGAGCCTCCGGCATTCTTGTGCCTTGGGCTCGGCCGTCTCTCAGCCTCGCCAACTGTCCTCCTCGGTATTGTGTACCACCTCTATCACTGCTGCTTCTTCCCCGGCCGCCGCATCTCAACCCTTCCCTGGACGGCCGCGTCCTCCCAGTCTTCCTGGGACATGTACTTCCTCAACAACGGCGAGTATCCCATCCACATGGCGAGGTAGGCGCAAATACACTGCACGAGCCAAGGAATCCACCATCGAAGAGGCCCGAGGACCCATAGCTCGGGAAACATGATCAGCGCGGTAGCTGAGAAGTGTCTAGTCAGGGTAGAGTGACGGAAGGTCAGTAAGTGAGCCTCCGAAAACGGTGAGCCCGTGAGGCCTGAATGAAGTGCACGAGGCTGTCTGGAGCCTCGCCAGTCACGGTACGTATGGCACCACTTACTGCATAACCATGACCTGCAACAGACTTAACACTTCCCTCCCCTCCCTCACATCACTGACATACATCAACAGCGCCTGGAAGAACAACCTATCCATCTTGTTGTCTAGGTGGTCGGGGTTCGGGTGCGCCCAGACGAGCATCGTCGTGTCCTCTGTGGCGGTGGGACTCGGCCAGAGTCGATGCGGCATCCACGGCGCAATGTGGTAGGGGTTCGACTCCGACGTGTTTTGGGGCGTGTGGATAGTGTCGATGAGGGAGTAGGTCGTCGTCGTGCCAACTTCACCGGACAGCACGATGAAGGATTCGGATTGCTGGAAGTGGAGGTGTAGGGGAGGTGCCTATGAGGAAGTCAGTGGTAGGTAAGAGTCTTGGTGTGGCCCAAATCCTCGGTAGAGGTGTCGGTATCAGGAGCCGTGCAGAAAGTGACCATGACAACGACAATGAGAACGACAATGAGAACACCATGACGACGAGGTACGTACCTGACCGTGCCCTTTCCCCAGCTTACACCACGGATGATCATGCTTGTACGTCGCCCGCATCAATACACTAGAGATGAGGTATAAGTTAGCAAGCTCCCCTGTGCATACACATCTATGCACGAACGCGTACAGACTCCTCGATCTGCGTGCATATGGACGAGATTGGAGACAGCACAGAAGAAGGAGACTCGAAAAGACCACCAGCCTCGCTTGCTTGTCATCACCCAGCCAGTGTGTTTGTTTGCCAACATCGCTGGCGAGACATTCTCCTCTGTCTGTCTGCCTTGTGTGCCGCTTGAGTTGTGGTCTCTTTGCACCTCGACTTCCACTTCAGCCGCTGGGGCTCTGCTCTGCTGCTTTGCTCTTTCTTCCGCCGTGCGCTCACACACACACGCGCGCGCGCGCACATGACTAGATGCACCGCATATTGAATACTGAAGAGACAGATCGGATCGGATCGGATTGCACTCACGAAGCATTCCTCAACCGTTTAGGCCGCAGAAATTCCAACACAAACGATCCGTCGTACAGAGAAAACGGCCCCGCAATGACTGGTTCTGGCTCGTCATCGCCATCGTCTTTGGGGTCCTTGTCGCTCTTGAGCTCGTCGTCTGTTTTTACTGGGTGTGGGATCGACATGTCGTGTTGTGGGTTGGGTCGGTTTTTTCTCTTCCCTCACGTTCCCTCTTGTTCCACGCCGTGTTTTGATCAAGCAACTCAAACACTCAGAGGGATGTACTGCTGCGGACGGTAGAAAGGGGAGGTGTCAGTACAGGAGACCACAAGTGATACACAGCCGGCATCAGTACCAAGGAGGAGGACGGAATATGAAGTCGAAGGAGTACACAGTAGAGTACATACGTATGCAATGTGGTCCCCAGTACACAGCAACGAAGCTGAACCGGTACCGGTACTGGTACAGCACATTGCATACCATGCTATATATGGCCGACATGACATGACCCGTCGTCAATGTCAGTCGAATATAGTCGGCAGAAACCTGCACAGAATGCAGTATGTACGATGTAGGATGTAGTGTGTAGTAACTATGTAGTCTCAATCTCGTGAGTGGCGGGCACACCTTCTCCTCCCTGCCTCTGCTCTGCCATGTGAGGCAGCCCCGCCCACGGGCAGCAGACAGCATACGTACCTAAGTCATAGCTGAGGGGCTAGCCCTCACATAGACAATAAGACTTACTTGAGACGATGGCGGTGCCGTACCACGCCGTGTCAGTTATTAGTTAGCTTACTAGCTAGCTATTCGCCTACCTACCTACCTCCCTACCGACCTACCTACCTACCGACCTACCTACCCTTCTAGGATTACTCCGTACCTTACATACCTTGCCACTGTATCCACCTAGCGAGCGAGTCACTGAATGCCACTCCATACAAGCCCATGGGGATTATTCCCGATCAAACAACTAAAGTACATTGATCATATCATCACCGTACTCGGACTCGCACTCGTACGCGTAATCGTCCTCGTCCCAGTAATGTGACTTGCTCGCTCGTACTACTACCCGGTAGTAAGGTCATCGACGTCCCACCGCCAGCCGCCCGCTGAGGATATTGATTACCGATTACATACTCTGTGCAGAACCAGGCAAGGCGAGTGAGGCGAGGCGGTGTCACGCAGTGGGTGGGTCGGGTGCCGAATTAATTAGTCCTAGAAAGGAGAAACCCACCGGTAATTCGTACGAGGTACGGGGTACTCGGTGCGAGTCGCGCATGTACTGTAGGTCGACCATACGACATCAGGGTCTGTCGTATAGTAGATCAAATCGCATGTAGGCGGTGGTAGGCAGGCGTGGCAGGGAGGAAACCTGTCTTGTAGACAGTGGAAGTGGAAGGACGTCGTTGTAGTCTTATGGTATGCGATTTAAAGGAGGGTTTGGACCAACGTCCGTGAGGAAGCGCACCATGCCCATAAAAGGGCAAGAGGCCCAGTCCGTTGCCATTGGCACTTTCAGCGCCCGAATCGAGCGACCGGCGTGTCGAATCTGAGCCACTTCGACTTGCGGAGACGGAGGTACTTTTAACTTCTTACTGTACCTGGACACATTAGGAAAAGGATGCCTCCTCGTGACATGCCTCCTCGTGGCAAAGTAAGTACATACAGCAAACATCTCCTCTGAGATTGAATTACAGTATCTCGCAAGTGATGTCTGTTTCACCCACGGCGCCTAATGAAAGTCCAACAACCATCTCCTTCCAACAGCGCCTAATGAAAGTCCAACATCAAACTCCTCATCTGCTCCATCATCCCAGCCACTCCATCCGCAGAGAGCATGTCCTCTGGCACGAATACGCCCATGCCCAGATATCCGTCATCCACTTTTGCCTCGACGTCGATGGCGGGCTGCAGGACTAGAGTCAGCAATTGGCCGATTCAAGGGAATTCAAAACGCGTAATCGTTTTTGCACTTACCAAGCACCACTTTCTCGCCTCTGAGTATTGGTCTGTACCTTTCACAAAGGGCGACCGTGCGTTCGTCGCATTTTCAAGCTCCGTTTTTTGCTCCGGGTCGAGTTTGGCGTGCGCTATCTTCACCTGCCTGTCGGGTCCAGCTCGGGCGCCATCGTCTTCCTGGTCGGATGGGAGGGTCAAGAAGTTGACGAATGTGTCAATCTTGACACCTGTCCAGGCATAGATATCCCTCATGCTGACTCCGCAGTTCTCGGTCTTGGTGATCTCAGCTATGTCATGTTGGACTTGCAGTGCCGAATCCAACAGACTCTTTCCGCCGAGCTGAACTTTCAACGGGACGATATTGAATGTCGGAGCAATCAAATTCGTGACTCCGTCAATATCGAGAGATCGGTTGGCAAGGTAGATTCCGAGGACCACGTCACCTGCTGTAGGATTGTTCCCTTCTCCATTGTGGGACGCACGACGTATGCTTGCATATGATCTGGCATAGGCGGCAAAGAAGAGCGCCTGAATGCTGAGGCCGTGGTGTTTCAAGTGCCTGGTCAAACCGTCGACAGGCAGAAGTCGAGGATCGAATATCTCAACTCGGTTTGCTCCAAAAGAGCCTTGAGCAATGGGTGGCGTCAAATCTGCCTGTGGACCAAGATAATTTGTCCAGAATTCTTGCGCTACCGCTGCAGATGACTGGATGTTGGAAATGAAGATGCTCATGTCCGTGTTGTGTCGCATTTCCGAATCGGTGTCGACACAAAGTCTCTCCAGTTCTGTTACAAGCAGCTGGAGGCTCACAGCATCGTACAAGGCGTGATGGATGTGAAGTGTGATCAGGAGCTCGCTTCCTTGGTCTTTGATATGGAAAGTCCACGGCAAGTCATGCTTGTCCACAGCCTCGTTCTTGAGGACTACCTGCCATGTCTGGGCCATTTCATTGCTCTTCTCGTGGACGAAAAGAGTCCTGAGTGCCGGCACACCACGGACAAGCCCCCGGAACGCTCGTGCCAAGTCTCCTGGTGAGCTATTCGAGACCTTGAGCCAGAACTTTGGATAGAACAAGCGACCTTTACTTGCTTCCCACATATCGAGCATGTAACATTGACCACCAGTTGCCGGTATGACAGTTTCGATGTCGGTCTCAGGGACCGGGAGACCCAGCTTGATAGCGCGAGAAGCTGACTGATTCATGGTAGATCCATTCAGTGTTGGATGGACGTCTGGAGCCTGCGTTTTCAGTTGCTCTGCCAGGGTTGCGATCTTTTCAATCGTGTGCTCTCTGATGATTCCGCTGACCGGTATCTTGATACCTTCTTTCCTCAATACACTGGCGACTTTGATAGCACTGACACTGTCCAGACCGAGATGGAAGATGCCGGTATCCTGTTTGATCTGGTTTTGGTCGACATTGGCGATCTTAGCCAGGACTTCTCTGAGGATGGTTTCCGTTGCAGTCCAAGGCCGTGTTGTTTGAGAGCCGTCTCCATTTCGGACAACGGTCGACTCGTGTCTTCGCTTTGGTAACTCCCTGTTGGCGAGTTGTATCCGTGGCAAGCTACAAAATGACGCCATGTTGTCCTGTTCCCGGACCAAAGGTTGGTCAGGCTGTGCCATTAGACCGGACAAGATATTGTCCAGCGTTTCTAGCAATTCGCGACCGGATTCTTCAGTAGCAACTCCTTCTTGACACGCAACTGTCCAGATCAGGCCCTCCGTTCCGCTCTCCAACTCGATGTTGACGGGATAAGGCGGTCTAACCGGTGTTGCTTCAGAGGTGAACTCATTGTAAAGAGCCGCGAGATCGTCTCCAGAGCTCGGAAGCTTCTGAAATGTGAACAATGTGTTGAAAAGCTGTGTCTCAGTTCCCGAGACCCGAAACATTCGGAGAGCTTCTCGAAGAGAGAAATGCTGATGTTCCGAGACTCTGACTGCGGCATCGTGCACTTGCTTGACAGCTTCGGCGTTCGTGCTGTCCTTCGTGATCTGGGGCCTGAATATGACAGTGTTGAAGGTGGGAAAGACAAGTTGCTCCGAGCCTTCGGTAGTGCGACCGGACAGAACGAGGCCGAAACACACGTCCAGTTGGCAAGTCCTGTGAGCAAGTGCGATGGTCCAGCAGGCAAGTCCCAAGGACTGGAGCGTCACGCCCTGGCGCTTGCAGGAATTGAGTACCTTCTCCAGATGTGTGCTGGAATGCTTGTGAAACAGAAAGGCAGGTCTGTCTGGCGCGATCTCTGGGGTGAATGTGCTGGGTTGAATGCCCCCGAGCTGTTCCTCCCAGAACATATGTACATCCCTACTGCTCGATTGATCAGAAACTTGTTGGAGGTGACTTTGCAGTGGGACAATGGCATGGTCCTTGGTCTCGGGGGTAGGTGGAGTCGGTGCCTGGTATGCTTCGGTGACTTGCTGATGCAGGAGATACAGAGACCAAGCATCGTACAGTGCATGTGGCATAGCTAGCACCAGGAAGGCTGCATTCGCCTCATCAACTACAGCGATCTGGATTCCGCGAGATGACAAGTCTTGGTCTGACGGGTCGCCTCTGAACCTGTCGACAACCTGGTGCAACTTGGCGTTGTGAAATACTTGCACCTTAAGGGGCTCTTTGACCACGTACTGCACAAAAGCGGATCCCTGACCAGCCGATTCCAGCGTGGCAAAGCGAGTCCTCAGTATTGGCTGTGTCTGCGAAACAGTCTGCCAAGCTGCAACAAGTCGCTTCAGGTCGACATCAGGCTCCAATTTGAAAGTCATCACATTCAAGTACTTTTCAGACTCCAGAAGTAAGCCTTCCTGCATCGGCGTAACAGGAAGGACGTACTCGACCTCGTCCAGGTCAACTCCCTGGGCTTGCAGAGCAGTCCGGTAGCTCGACTGCAGCTTTGCAATGGAATCCGGGACCTCTCTCACGTTGCGTATTGGGCCCTCACCATCAGCAGTCGAGGTTGCCGCATGTGCAATGCCTGCAACGGTAGGTGTCTTCATGATGGCGCTCACAGGGACCCTCAAGCCGACCTTCTTGAGCCGAGCCGCGAGTTTCATTGCTTCGATGCTGTCGAGACCGAGTTCAAATATTGTTGGCCCGTCTCGATGGACATTTTCTTCTTGGACAGAAGCAAGCCCTGCAAGCTGGGAACGAACAGCCATCTCGATTTCGTTCAGAGAAGTGTCGCTGTGTTGTCTCAGCACATTGTCGGACTCCGTCTGGTCACCATTATGAATGCCATTTGCGGTTGGCACCGATTCGACTGGGTCTTCACAGAATTCAGGTGATAGAGTCGACTCTAGTATAGCCGGATCATTAACGAAGCTTGAGTAGGTCGTAAAGAGCTGCCTGGCGTCATATTCTGGGACAAGTGCCGGCTTCGCAGCAAGGGTGACTGTAAAGGAGGACCCTTCCTGCTCGACCTCAATGTTCAGGGGATAATCCGGCGAGCTTTCGGTAGGGATCTCTTCCCATAAGTCGCGGCCTGCGGAGTCCCTCAACGACTTTTGAAAGACGAATAGCGTGTCAAAGAGCCCCTTGTTCATGTCCTGATCGAGATAGCGTGCAATCTTTCGCAGCGGCGTGTGCTGATAGGGTATTACATCTATATTGAATTTGTGACAAGCTTGGACAAGGTCCGCAACTCTCGCTCCCTTCTTGAGACCGTTAATTGCACAGGGTATCGTATTGAACATGGGGCCAATCACATCTTCCAACCCTTCATCCGGCATTGCTCGGCCTGAAACCACAATGCCTATGGAAGGATTCGCACTGAGCTGCATCCGTAGGGTGTATAGGAGCAATGCTTGGAAGTACGCGGAGGTCGTGATGTCCAACGAATTGCACCGAGCTTGTAAGTCGTCAAGGATGAGCTTGTTCCTCAAAACAATAGGACCGTGCAACTCCTCGTTCTTCAAGCCTGTCCAGGGAAGCCGATGCGATTTGAAAGAGGGCAACCGTGACCGCCAGAAAATCCTCTCGTCGGACAAACGACACAGCGGGCCATAGGGTAGTGCCTGGTAGAATTGAATGGTGGACGAGGGATCATCTCCAGGACGGCTATAGTGCCGTTTGACTTGGTTAAGTAGCTTCGGTAGACTGTATCCGTCGTAGAGGCCGTGAAAGATGTAGAGGTACATGCTCTTGCTACTCCCGGAGGTTGTCAACTCGACGCTCCAGGGCAACGACATTGACAGAGACCTGACAGATTTGACCCAGTCTCTGAATGATGACCCTCGTGTCTGTTCGCTCGTTTTCTGCCGACTCAAGATCTTGATGTCGTTCTTGCAGTTGCGGAGCACAACCTGAGCATATCCACCCGTTGTGGAAAGGAACAAAGTTCTCAGCACTGAAACAGACTGCTGCGTAGCCTGCCATGCCTCTTTTAATCGTGCCAAGTCGATCTCTGGTCCCAGCTCGAAGAGGAATTCGGAGAAATACACTGTATCGTCGGGTCCACCCTGCACGACCCGCGAGATCATGCCTTCCTGCAGTGGCGTGCAAGGTGCGATGTGCTCGAGGTCGGCTGGTTGGAGTTTCATGGCTCGACAAACTGATGTGCGATGAGTTTCAGCAAATTCTCGAATCAGCTTCCGCGCAGCCTCTATAGCCTGGTGGCCATCAGAGGTTGATTCTTGGGCAATCACATGTGCGAGGTCCTGCACCACAGGATGTTTGAGCACCGTAGCCACATTGGCGTTCTTGAAGCCTTGCCGGTTGAAGAACCTGGCAAGGCCGATGGCAGAAATCGAGTCCACACCGAGTTCGAACAACCTCGAACTCGGCTTGATGCTTGACGCGGGAATCTGTAGAAAGGATGCCAGTAGTTCGGCCACATGTCGACCGACTCCCAGATTGCCGTTTGTGAATGCCTCTGCCTGCTCGGATGCTGCTTCCTCTGACTCGGTCGAGTTAGTTTCGTACAATACTTTCAAGGATTTGTGATCGACCTTGTTGTTGACCGACAGAGGGAAGGAAGACACTGCTTGGATATAGGTCGGGACCATGTACGCCGGTAGACTATTGGAACAATTCTCCCGAATCTTTCCAGCCAACTCTTGACTCAAGTGGTCAGTCACGATGTTCGGGCTCTCATTCTTGACTTTCCGTTGTGCTGTCGAGAAGAAGGCTACAAGGTGGTCCTTCTGTTGGCTCGGGTGTTTCAAGACCATGGTGAAAACGTCTTTAATTCTGGAGTCCGAAGCCAACGCAATATGATTGATCTCTCCGATCTCCAATCGCTGACCTCGCAATTTGACTTGATCGTCGATCCGGCCAAGGAATTCAAAGCTGTCATCGTGCAAGAGACGGACAAGGTCGCCCGTCCGATAGATTCGAGTGTTGTAGTTGGGCATTGTCACGAATTTCTCCGCAGTTAGCTCTGGTCGGTTGAGATATCCCTTTCCCACCAGCGGACCTGACAAGCACAATTCACCAACCGCGCCGCGGAGCACTGGCTGTTCGAAGCCCGGTTCTAACACGAAGGAGCCAACATTGTCCCATTGTTGGCCAATATTGGTGGGCTTCGCGTGCTTGGGTACCTGTCGATGGACTGTGCAGCCGATGGTCACTTCGCTTGGACCATAGAAGTTGTACAAGCAGCCAGCATCACCCCAAGTCTCAAGGATATCTTGTCTGACTTGCTCCCCACCGACAATGAAGACGCCATCACACAGGCTTGGCACATCCTTGGGAGTCAGTAGCCGCGCCAGGCTTGGAGTAAGATCCAGATGCGTTATCTGAAGAGCGCTGATGGTTGCTGGCAGATCTTCGAACAAGAGGTCTCGTGGAGCAGATGTGACACAGATACCCACACTCCAGCTCCAGTATTGCTCGAGCACACTGACATCAAAGTGGAAGGATGCGAATTGCAGCCATCTGGAAGTGTCATTCCATCGGCCCCGGAAGATTCGCTGGAATGACAGCATGGCCTGTACAGCACTGTCATGACTGATGAGGCAGCCTTTTGGCGTGCCGGTGGTTCCGGATGTGTAAAGGCAGTAGCACGTGTCTCCAGGGGATGGCTCTCTGCTAGGTGTAGGCTTGCTGATTGGCAAAACTTGCCAGGAATCGTTGTCAACAGCTAAGACGGTTACCCCCTGGAAATTCTCAAAGTCCGACACCTTGTCTGTTGTGGTAAGCACAAGATTGCACCCAGAATCTTTGAGGATAAACTCCTTCCTGGCAGCTGGTGCACCTGGGTCAATGGCGATGTAGCCACACCCTGCTTTGAGGATGCCGAGTATGGCGAATGAAGCTTCGGGGCACTTGTCAAAGCAGACAGCCACTAGATCTCCGGCCCGAGCTCCGTTGTTCTGGACCAAGCGCGCCATTTGGTTGCCACCTGAGTCGAGCTGAGAATAAGTCCAGGTCTGCTTGGTTGCGGGGGCGCCCTCTAAGCTTGTTACAAACTCAAGAGCAATGTTGTCCGGTCGTCCTTTTGCAGTCAGCTCGACAAACTCGTGTAGGAAGTGGACCTCGGTAGGGATACGGTCGTCTTTGGCTGGCACGACAGACAAAACTGACCCCGGAAGCTTCGAGGACTCGGCAGCTGGGGCGATTATGCTCTTGAGAAGCACGTCATACTCTCGGAGGATGTGAGAAGCTTGCTCCCTAGGCACGACATCCTCACGGCACGTAAGTTGGAGGTCAACAGTACCGTCCTCGTGTGGTAGTATTTCCAGCGAGACTGCGTACTCGGCACTCGCATTATCTTCGACCAGAGCCCATGGCCTTTGAACATCTTGTGCGGAGCCATATCGTTGCAGGGCGATGACAGAGTCGAAGGGTTCCCCATCAATGCCTGCCCAGCGCTTGATAGCGTTGAGTGGACTATGCTGATGTTTCAGAATGCCGGCACATCGCTTGGTAGCATCTTGCAAGAGCCTGGCCCGTTCACGATGAATTGGAATTGCCAGCGGAACAGTATTGATACAGGGAATGGCGACCTTGTCCACGTCCTCGTCGAAGTCTCTTCCGGACAGTATCACTCCGAAAGTGACGGCGCTCTGCGCTGTATATGCGGCGAGTAAAGAAGCCCAGGCCGCGGCCACCAAGGCCTGCATCGTGGCTCCTGCCTCAGCACATGCTCCCTCCAGGGTTTGAGACGACAGGCTGCATTGTTGTTTTGCTACAATATGATTCGCGGCCTGGTTGTTGTAGATTCGCATGTCTGGAAATCGAGTTGGACTCATATCTGTTGACATCTCAGACCAGAATGATTTTGAGCTTTCATTTGCGCTAGTAGCGAGGATCTTCGAGACGGTGTGTGCAATGTCGATTTTCTGTGGCTGCATGCCATTGTAAATACAGGCCACATCGTTCAGAATTATATCCAGGGAGCGAGCATCGTAGAGTGCATGCAGCATTGCGAGCTCAAGGACCGGAGACTGCCCCGTTGTGGACACTCGAACGCTCCATTGCAGGTACCGAAGGTCTTCCAGGTCTCTCGGGGGCTCGGTGGTGTCGTCGAACCATGGCAGCTGCTTGGCACCTGTTTTGTATATAACCATGGCAAACGGGACTTTCGGGTCATCCACTTCGGCAAAGCCAGTCCTGAGCATTTTGTGCGTCTTCATTGCCACGGCCCAAGCACGCTTTAACTTCGACAGGTCGACATCTGATTGCAGCTGGAAGTGCATATGGTTGAAGTACAGCTTGCGATTGGACCGAAGATATTGTGATAGTATGCCTGTTTGAGTCGGCGTGCACGGCCACACATGCTGCACTATCGGTCGCTCAATGCCGTTGGTTTGACAGATTGACTGACGATGTTGCCTGTCATACGCGTCGAGGTCGAATGACGGACCCGGCTCCGGCTCTTCCTTCCTTGAGTTACAAAGACTGGCGATATTGCAGACACTGGCGCCCTCTAGAATATCACCAGAAGATATACTGAACCCTTGTTTGCGCAGCCTGGCCGCGATTTGCACAGCGTTGATGCTGTCGAAACCCAGATGAAATATGGTGGTGTCTTTGGAGATGTTCCTAGAAACACCAGGTTTCAACTGCAAGAGGATATCCTTGACCAGTGTCTCCGCCTCTGTCAGCTTTTCTCCATTATGGACCGACCCGTTCGCTCCTGCGGTAGCTGCTGGTATACGACCGACGATGAACGGGGTTTTAGGACGCAGGTCTGGCAACGCATGAGTAGCAAAAGCATAGTCCAGTGCTCTTGCTTGCGGGTACTTGGTGGTATGCACGAGAAGGCTGTCAAAGGCATGGAGGAACTGCCTCAAAGTGTTCTCGTTGGCTACTTCCGAGTGTAATATCAGGGAGATGCTGTCGGCGTCGGTGTCCGTCACTACCTCAAAAATGAAAGGAAACGACATATCCCCAGATTCATCAACCATCGTCCAGATGTTATGGTCGAGGCGGAGCTGGTCCTGCTGGAGTAAAATCAACGTATCGAACAGTGGTTTCCCCATGGTGTCGACTTCTCGCTGGATGCGACGGAGCGAGCTAGGCTGATAGGGCAACACTTCGACATTCATCTGCTGGAAACTGTGACATAGCTCTTGGTTGGAACTGTCGCGCCGCAGACGGGCCCTCACTGGTAACGTATTGAAGCACGGTGCAACTATGCGATCAACGCCTTCAATAGCAAGGTTGCGGCCGCTAAAGACGTTTCCAAAACAGACATCTTGAGTCTGGAAGATGCAGCTAAGCAAACGGCTCCATGCGGCCTGCATCAGCGCGAGAGGTGTCGAAGAAAGCTTTCGAACAGAATGATAAAACTCGGACAAGCCGATTATGCTTCGAGACTCCGCCCGTGAAGCGCTGCCTGGCTGAATCCTGTTCTGAGGCAGGATGGCCTCTGATAACTTGAACAAGGAAGCTCCGTCCAACTTGCTGCGCCAGAAGTCATATGTGTCGTCCATATCGGTTATTTCCATGAAAGACAGATAGCGGTCGAAAGGCACCGGCTTTGGAAGCTGATAGCCATGATAGTAAGTTTCAATCTCAGATAGAAGAATCGACATCGCCTCTGCGTCGTAGAGACAATGGTGCATCTGTAGAGTCAACCGGGAGCCATTGTCACCGCCTTTGGTCACCGTAATGTTCCATGGCGGAACCATGAGGCTTTCCAGTTCGTGGATCCGCGCATCTTGATAAGTTTCCTCATTCCAAGGAAGCTGAAAGTTCTTCAGAACCACCTGCACAAAGGGCTGAGCGGCTGAGTCTGTTGCCGCGAATCCAGTTCGAAGGATTTGATGTCTAGCCAGTGTGTGCTCCCACGCTTCACGCAGCTCCGTAATGTCCCCGTGGACTTTAACGTGGAGGGTGTTCTGATAAGCTTGCGAAGAGCCATTCATGGCAGTCGTGGCCATCGATTCCTGTAGAGGGGTGCATGGAAGGATTTTCTCGACTTCCAGTCCCGCACGGGAGTAGGTGCTGCGAATCCGATCCCCTGAGGGACCAGCGAAGTGTCGAGTCAGATCGCGCTGAGGACATGGCGCTGCGCCCATCCCCGTGTCTGAGCGCAGGACTCTGTGCAGTCGCTCAACCGATGGGTTTCTTAACAAGGTGGAGATCTCAATAGATGGAAAATAGTCTCTCAGTTTTCTTGCAACATGGATAGCACTGATCGAGTCCAGTCCCAGGGCATAGAATGAGCTATTGCGAGTGATTGTCTGTAGTTGCACACCGAGGCTATCGCAAATTGCCTCAGCGATGGTTCTTTCGTCTTCGGAGAAGTCACGAGCATCCTCTGAAGCAGTACTCCCTCGCGAAACTGCTTGGAGCTGCTCCCCATCAAGGCCGTGGTACTTGTCGATGAGATTTCTCCGGTCGACCTTGCCCTGACGGGTCAGTGGTATGGAGACGAGATCTATAAGTGCGTCAGGTATCATGTAGCTCGGCAATGTGTTTGACAACTGGTCGTAAATGGCATCGATGGCCTCGGCGCGTGTGACTGATTCTCTAGACTGACGTGGAGTCAAGAAGGAAACAAGCTTGGCACCTGCTTCACCATCTGCGCTAATGATCATAGACACCGCATCTTGGACACCCTGGCATTGGAGGATAGCAGAGTTGATCTCTCCCAGCTCGATTCTCTGGCCACGAAGCTTGACTTGGTCATCCTCACGACCCAAGATGGCCAAGGACCCGTCGGCGAGAAGCCTTCCAATATCTCCAGAGCGGTAGAGCCGACCATACCTCGGGTGGTCGAAGAAAGCCTTTGCGGTAAGTGCAGGATCGATATACCCGCGCCCGACCTGCTCTCCGCCGATCCATATTTCTCCTACTCCACCCGTGGGAACCAGTCTGAAGTCTAGAGCTGCCTGACCACTGGTGCCGTTGACGGTATGTCGTGAGTCCAGTGCTTGCCTTTGGCAGACGAAGACTGATGTATTTGGCAGCGGAGGACCGACATTGTTTGATGCGTCTGCGACTGAGACACGAGGTCTGACGTTGCAAATGTTTGTTGTCTCAGAGGGACCGTAGCCCTGGTATAAACCACGATCGGCCCAAGCTGAGAAGACCTTCGAGTTCATAGGTTCTCCTGCCGTAACCAGCATTTTCACGTGCGGGACCTTGTCAGGACTAACCAAGGCAGCAACCGAGGGTGTCATGCTGAGGTGGGTAATTTTCAGCTTTTTGATGAAATATTCGAGATCTCGAAACAGTACATCGTTCGAGGCCGTACACAGTGTCATGCCCATGTGCCATGTCCAAAAAATTTCGAAGACCGACACATCAAATGCTGGCGAGCAGGACTGTAACAGACGATCTGTTCCTGACTTGCAGGGATAGATACGTGAGAGCACTTCAAGGTTGCTGAGCAGGTTTCGCCGAGTGAGGAGGACACCTTTCGGGACACCAGTGCTACCACTTGTGAACACAGCGTAGGCTAGCTCCCCTCCTGTCAATGCAGGCCACCTGAATACTTCCAATACTGAGTTTTGGGCCAGTAGGTCGATCATCGACACGATTGTTACCACCGGAGATTGAGGCGGCGCTTTGGCTTTGCCGGCGGTTAGGACAAGCTTGCATTTCGCTTCAGCCAGGATCGAGCGAGTTCTCTCAGTCGGCGTGCGAGGGTCGATGCACATGTAAGCTCCTCCAGCCATAATGATACCAAGTATGCCGATGTAGAGCTCGGTTGATCTTGGGCCAATCAAGCATACAAGGTCATCAACACCTATAGAGTATTTCCTCTGCAATGACGAGGCGATAAGTGAGGCTCGCTTGAATAGGTCGCTGTAGGTGAGGATTTCCTTATCGGCTCGACCTGTATATACGTCAATGTCGTGCACGACTTCGACTGCCACTCTCGAAGGACATGACTCCGCAAGACTTCCAACTGTGCTTGTGAGGTCGAAAGACCCACTAAACTGCTCGAAATTGGTGTTGACCATCGACGCAATATTTTGGCTCATGTCATCCCAAACATGACCTAAGCGCATTTCTGGTTCGTTTATAATGCGCGTGACGGCATCATCGAGCTGCCTCGCCAAAAGCTGTCCCTGATCTTCCGGAACACGCTCCGTGTCGTAGCTCAACTTCACATGGATTTTTCCCTGACGAGGTTCAAATTCCAGCACAAGGGAATAGTCCAAGGCATCATGCGTCGAGATGGTTGTTACTTTGGAGCGATCCCTGTCATTGTCTGCGCTGTCTTGTTGCCATACACAAAGGGTGTCGAAGAGTCTATCTCCAGCACCGATGCCTGCTGTGCGATTAATATCTCGAAGGGTTATGTTCCCATGTTTCTGTTGTAGGTTGCGCAGCCTTTGGATATGATTGACAAGGTCATGAGCCGTTCTCAAAGCATCGGTATCAATACGTAGAGGAAACGTCGATAAGCAGGGGCCAATGATGGACTCAATTCCTGGGAGAGAATGATGCCGGCCTGCCGACACAACGCCGATCGCGAGGTCAGCCTCGTTGAGGTATGATGAAAGCAGGAGAGACCACGCTGCTTCTAGGAGGGTCTCTCGACCGCAACGCAACGACAGAGCAATGTCAGACAGCTGCTGGTAGGAGACCGTCAATGACAACTCCGTGCAACCTCTGTGACGTTGCGCTGTACGAGTTGCTGAGAGGTTTGGGAATGCCGAAGGCTTGAAGTCTACAAACTGATTCTCCCAAAATTCGCGGGTGGCTGATGTTTCAGACTGAAGCTGACGCTGTTCGAAGGAGCAGAAAACGGAGTACGGCGTTCTTCCTGGTGCATCGTGACCTGACAATATTGTATTCAGGTCGTCCAAGATCAAGTCCCAAGACCAGCCATCATACAGCGCGTGGTGAATGCGGACGTGAGCAACGTCATCCGTGTCCTGACTCAGTTGAAGGGGTCGCAGAAGAGTGAGCTCCGAGTCTAATAGAGATCGCCAAATGATTTGTCCGAAGGGCATCTCCTGTCTTCCCGTTGGCACGAAACCAGACCGCAGAATCTTGTTCTTCTCCGCAAGCTTGTTGAACGCCAGACGGAGGTCAGCAAATCTCACTCCTGGAGCAAGCTGAAGCCAGATATCATTGAAATTCTGCTCTTGTTTCGTGGCAGTTTCAACCAGCATTGCCACCTGCATGCTACTGCAAGGCTGGATCTCCTCCCAGGATGGTTCCTGGCCTGCAAGGTCAGGACCACCAAGCAGCTGTTGCTTGATGTCTTGCCACTCCTCAGAGGCCTCATATCCGGTTTTTATGTGCTCACGGTTATCAGAGGTGGTTGACTTCCCCACAATGAATGCCAGCTCGGCTACATTGTCCGCCTCAGAAATAATTGCAGAACTGACGGAGCTGTATTTTTGGCGTAGCTGAGATGCCGCCTTTATGGCACGCAGGGAATCTAGTCCCAAGGACCAGAAGGATGTACTTCTGTCGATCGTTGTTCTCAACTCGCTGCTCAAAACCTTTGCAATGTCCTCCTCAATCTGATTCTTGAATGTACCCTCGTGTGTTGCTGATGATCGTTGTTCGCGATAATTACGCTCGAGCGACTTGCGATCAATCTTGCCCGAAGCTAGTCGTGGAACGTCGTGGTGGAGGAAGACGATTTCGCCTGGGCGCATGTACGGCGGCAACCACGATTTGCACTGAGCGTGGATGGCGGCCGTTCCAACGTCAGGCCTTGCCACACAGAAAAGCACCAGAACATCGTCGATGATGCTGGCAATGGCCATGTGCACCCCTTTGGTCTTGGACGCGATCTCTTCGATTTCTCCCAGTTCAACCCGCTGGCCTCTTAGTTTCACCTGCCCAGAACTAATTCGGCCCAGGATTTCTAGCTCGCCGTTGGGACGACATATCGCTCGATCACCGGTTTTGTAGATTGCGCCGTAGCCAGGAAGGTCCACGAATGCGGCCTGGTTCTGCTCCGGCCGATTCAAGTATCCATCGGCGAGTTGACCGGCTATAGCAAGCTCGCCTGATTCCCCGACAGGCGCTATCGTGGGCGGATCGCCCGATTTGAGGACAAACGCAGTGACTGTGGCCAATGGTTGCCCTATGCTGCGAACGGATGCGTCCGCAGCTAGCTTCGTTGCCAACGTACAGTGAATCGCCGCTTCGGTGGGACCGTACATAGCATACAACATGCTAGGTTTACCTGAATTCCCGCCAAATTCCGAGACCACCTGGGCTGTAAGCATTTCCCCGATTGTCAAGAGCGTCTTCAGGCAAGGGGCTGCCTTTCTCGTCCTGAGCAGTGTTCCCGCCACGGTGGGTGTGAGCTCTGCGGCGTCTGCATTTAGCGCCTGAATCGTAGCTGGGAGATCAGCAAGCATGCGCTCTCGGTCGCAGCCAACCAGTGTGGCGCCTCGGAAAAATGGAAAGAATATCTCAAATATGGATACATCGAACGTGGGTGAAGCAAATTGCAAGAAGCGCCTGAAGGGGGGGATATGCTCATCGTGCGCTAGTAGTGATTGGGACACGGAAAGGTGCGATACCATGACCCCCTTGGGCAGTCCTGTAGAGCCTGATGTATACATCACATATGCAGGACTCGAAGGATCTACAGCCGGCCCAGTTTGGCAACTGAATTCACCATTTCGGGTTGATTTCAGTCTGTCCAGGAGCGTAGTGAGAGACACGACTTTGCACTGGACTTGTGAAAGTGCGTCTCGGAAGAGGTCTGATGTGGCAGCGGTTGCCAAGACGAAGGTCGCTTCGACATCTCGCAGGATGAACTTCAGTCTTTCTGCTGGCACATCGTGGCTAACTGGGCAAAAGGCGGCGCCAGATTTGAGCACGGCCACCCATGCGACATAGAGCTCCGGACATTGCGGTACGATGACGGGAATTATGAGCCTCCGGTCGGCTTGAATCGGTAATTGCGCTCGGATGTCCCGAGACAGAAGGTCTGTAATCCGATGGAAATCTTGATATGTGAGCCTGACATGGCGGTCGTCAGCCTGTAAGAAGTCGAAGATGATAGCCTCCTCAGATGTGTCGGCCACCAATTCGTGCAATAATTGAGGCCCTGGTAGTATTCGACGGTCCGCATTAACGATAGATTCTTGGCGGCGAACTTGAGACCCATTGACTGAAGGAGGCATCGCGCAGCTGCGAGGTTGTCACTGAAGCCGGAGGAGCCACAAAAGAGTAGTAGCTCTCTTTCAGGAGCGTGTGTACGGTGAATATGAATCTGAAGTATAGAACGAGGCTGTCACCGTTGGCATGACACGAGGAAAGTTCGGGGTAAACTTCGCGGCTCGCGTTCACTGGCCGACGTCATCGAGTGCAACGGTCTTTAGCGCATCTGATGCAGAAGGTCGTTCACGGCGGATGAGATGCTCGGCAGTAGCTGTTGTATATTCTTGCTCCTGCCCTTGACAATTGACGTCGTGGTGTAGCATTGGCCGACATGATCGCTGATGGGCGACTCTAGCCAAGCATCGAGGATTCTTGCATCTTCAGCACATGTGACGGCCGAATGGGGCAAGTCGCGTTGCGGGCTCCGCCGACTAGGGCAGGTAGCTTAGGTGACTCGCCGTAGGCCCCTGTGGACAGAGAGACGACTGAAAATTTTCGTTTTCATCGAAGCCTTGTATGAGGTCTGCCGCGCCGCCCTTGAGCAAAGCGCAGTTGCAGGCGGGGCAGCCGCCACCATCAGCTGCAGCGCCGATTGGCCAGAGATGATCCGGTGACAAAAGATTATCAGATAATCTACTGATTAGATTGATAAATTTCTCCTCCGTGATCGGAACTCGACCAAATGTCCTCGCTTCCGGGCGTTGCTGGCGGTCCTTGCCAACCAGGTGACGTAGTGATAGACATAAAGGCCTGCAACATGTCGATGGCCTCAACCATCTCGGGGTGCATTGACTGTTACATGGTAGAGGCTCCGAAGTGACCTGAGCTGTGGAGGAAGGGATAGGGGGGAACCACGACCGGCATAACCAGTCAGCGGCCGGTTCCGCATTAATGATGCCACCATTCACGCGGTCTGGGTAACCATCAGTCGCGCTGGCAGCTTGACGGGGCATCGGGTCCAGCCCAGGGTACAAATGGCGTCTCCTCCTGCTTCCGACGGTTTGAGACCGCTTTTTGCCTGAGCATTTGATACTCCTCTCGGTTGCTCGCAGGCATCACGGTACCAACACTGACGTCCCATGTTGAATTGATTGTCTTCATGGCTCCGGGTGTTTTATCTGACGCGTACGGGCATGGCCATGCCTCGGGTCCTCCAAGTCCGGTCGAAAGCACCAATGGCTGGCACTCTCCTCGCATGAGGAATGGATCTCAATCTGCAACCGCTGCCTTCAGTCTGCCTACACCAGACGCAAGTGAAATCCACGACCTGGTCTGTGTGGGCTTTGGGCCAGCCTCACTCGCAATAGCTGTCGCACTCCACGACTTCTTGCAACTCCAAAAGGAATCGGCCAGTCACGGCGCGAGCCCCAAAGTACGCTTCCTAGAACGACAAGGCGGTTTCAAATGGCATGCAGGAATGCTTCTTCCCGGCGCAAAGATGCAAATCTCGTTCATCAAGGATCTTGCCACGCTCCGGGATCCGACAAGCCATTTCACTTTCCTTAACTATTTGAAGAAGCACAATCGGCTGGTTCAATTTTCAAACCTTGGAACCTTCCTCCCATCTCGGCTGGAGTTCGACGACTATCTCCAATGGGCAGCCAGCCACTTTGAAAACGTGGTCGAATACAGCCAAGAGGTCGAGTCGATCCTCCCACACAAGCGGGAAGGAGCACAGAAGTACGATTCCTTCGAGATTGTGTCGCGAAATCTCTCCACCGGCGCGACCTTGCGTCTGCTCAGTCGTAATGTCGTGATAGCAGCCGGCGGTCGACCAGCCAAGCCAGCGGTGTTCCCACCCTACCATGAGCGCGTTCTGCACTCCTCCGAGTATAACACCAGGATCGAGCGTCTCCTGTCGGACAAGGACGGAGCTTACCATGTCGCCGTGGTGGGTGGTGGTCAGAGTGCTGCAGAGGTGTTCAGCAATCTTCATTCGCGCTATCCCAATGCGACGACAAAGCTGATCTTTCGCGATTCATCGCTGCGACCAAGCGATGACTCGCCATTTGTGAACGAGGTCTTCAATCCAGAAGCTGTCGACGCTTTCTATGAACAGCCCGAGAATTTCAGATCCGCCAATCTGAAGAAGAACAAGGCCACAAATTACAGTGTCGTAAGGCTTGAGCTGCTTGAGAAGTTGTATGACGATCTCTACCTGCAGAGCATCAAACAGCCCGATAAGTCTCGTTGGCAGCACCAGATCCTGCCCCTCAGAGAGATTTCAGACGTGGTCGACAACGGATCGAATAAGAGGGTGGATCTGGAGCTGAGAAACTTGGATCCGCTGAGAAAGGATCGAAGGGAAGTATTGTCGTTTGATGCGGTGATCGTGGCGACCGGGTACCGACGGGACGCCCATGTCGAGATGCTCAGAAACTGTCAAAGTATCAACGCGAACCCTGCTGGGCGTTGGCAAGCGGGGCGTGATTACGGGCTGGAGCTTGATCGCGAGAGGGTCGAAGGTGCCACGGGCATCTGGCTGCAAGGGTGTAATGAAGAAACACACGGTCTGTCTGATACCTTGCTCTCAATTCTGTCTACTCGGAGCGGCGAGTTAGTGGATTCTATTTTCGGGGCAGCGGCGAAGTCCAACAACCATTGACGAGACATGAATCGATCGATAGACGTATATATGATGCTGCAATTCATACGGGATACCTGCACGAAGGAGTAAATGCGATAAGTCGTTTCGTTCTGTCTCAGCTGTCCCTAATGATATGTGCCCTACACCTTGTCCAAACAAGCCGGCCGTTTCGATGTGTCCCCGGCCAGCTTTCCCCAGTCAGGGCTAGAAGTCCCAAGCAGAGTCACTCAGCATGTCGACAATCGTGTGGAGAGTCCAATAACGACCTCCGGCCACCGTTGGCGGAGCCGGAATGCGTGCGATTCATAGGACAGGCGGGCGCCACCTCCGCAAAGAGTGCTGCAAAGGCGGGAGCTGCCTGCGCCGCGACCTGCGTGGAGGTGAGATATCGCTGTCCTCGTTGGCTCGTTGCGCTGAAGACCGAGTCATCTAACCGCCATCCGGAGAAAGGGCGAGAAGGAACCGTCTTGGGCCTTGGGTGACCCGGAATCCTCAGTCGATCTGAACAAAGCCTTCCTCCCAAATTGGGAGGCTTTAAGAGGACAGAGCACCGGCCGTATGTTCAGTCAGTCGAGAGTAAGGGAAGCGACAGCTTTCATTTTCCGATTGCTGAGCTGAACCTCGGCACGTCAAGTGGCTGAAAACTGAAGACTGCCGACCGACACGCCCGCTTGCGGCCGACACACATTTTGATCCTCGACTCTCATCTGGACTTTTGGGGAATCCCTGTCGGTTGATCGAGTTGCAATCATCGTGTGGACATGCCATCGCGCAGAGCAGTCGATTGAGCAGTCATGGACAGCTCCGAACACGATCTCGAGCACCCGAAGAAGCGGCGGCGGCGGGAGATCGAGCGGCGGCCTCTCTCGACTCGGCTGGCTTTCGACGACACCGTCAAGGGCGATGCTGCCGTGGTTCCTCGAAGCCTGTGGACAAGTCTAATCGATGGCCATGTTGGTATGTCAAAGCCGATTATCTGTGTGGAGCACATACTGAGACTAATCCTGAAGATGGCTTCACTGCCACCTCTCCCGCCTATGTAGCCCTGACACCGCGCACTCTCCTCCATACCGAGCTTCAAGAGTCAACGTGGACAATTCTATCCGTCCAGTCGCCTTCCGAGGGAGGTGTCGAACAGGAGGACAGAGTTATCAGGCTCTCGCCAACGTCCTCAGCATGCCAGTCTATTCTGAAGACCTACGCGTCCATCGACCGTGATCGTCACCCGGGCCATATTCCCAAGTCAATCGAGATTCAGGCCATCTCGACCAGGCCTCTCACACTGGACACGATCTACGTGTCCGTCGAAAAGGGTCTACTTGAAAAGATCGATGACATACAAACCAAGTTTGGCGGAGGGTTCCAGTACGGGAAGCAGTTACCGTCCGAGAGGAAGCCATCGACTCCTAGCGGAGTATTGCGGAATGTGCCTCCCATCACAGGCCGACTCGCCTCCCTTGTCCGGGAAGCGCTGTCTCGTCTGGCTGTGGTCCATTCAGGAGATGTCTTCCCTCTGCCACTCCCGGCACATCCCATCACCCACGTCCGACCCCCACCCGCCATTGTGGTAGAGTGCGAGCCAGTGTCCCAAGGACAGCTCGGTGCAAGAACCAAAATCATTCTTATACAGACAGGGTCTTCGCAGGAAAAAGCGCTCAGCAAGCTGGCGCCCGTGCAACCTATAATAGAAGAGTCCCTTGAGGATACTGCCGAGGACACTGCCAACGATCAGTTCTACTCCGCTGCCGAAGACAGACAGACAGAGGAAGGATCCGATGGTGATGGCTCGTCTGATGATGTTTCAGCTGCCGAAGATTCACACGCCGAGGGCAGCGATGAGGAGTCGGACGACTCGATGGATGATATGATCTCTCTGAGTGCTCCTGGTCTGCCACCTCAGCAAGCGGGGACGTTATCGGCCATGACTTCTGCGACGCCGAGGGCGGGTGACAGGAGGGCAACGGGCACACATACTCCGGGCTCGATCTATTCGGGCTTCACCTCGGCGACAGCTCGAGGCGGCAGTCGGCCTGGGAAAGTCTTCAAAACCGAGGCACTACTTCGAAAAGTCCCCCTGGAGCTGATGCATCCAAGACCCGGTCTCGAAGATGACGACGAATCCTTCGTTTTCATCGACACAAGCACGCTTGCCAAGATCGGATGTTTCTCTGGAGACTGGGTTCGCATTGAGATTGCTAAAAATGTGAGCGCTCAGGGCTTTCCGCCGTCGGCCATGAAGAACCTCGCTGGACTCGGCGCAGAAGAAGAATCAGACTGGCGAGCCGTGAGAGTATTCGGTCTCTCCGGCCTGGCCAATCTGCAACCACGTTATGCCGTGGACAAGACTGGTGACAGAAGGTCCAGCTTCTCGCAGAGGGATTTACTGCTACCATTCTCGCCGGCCATCTATATCTCGCCGATACTGCTTGTTAATCTTTCAAATGCCCGATACGTCAAGCTCGGCGCTTTGCCAACCAGTCCTCGACCAGATCATCGGTCAATGCAACCACCACGGTCCAGCACCTCCAGAGCTCCTCCCGTAGCGAAGGAGGTTGTGCTTTCCAAGATTGCTGATCCAACAACGACGAACCCGTCTTTTCAGTCCACGTTATTCTCATCCCTGCAGTTCCACCTCCAGAGCAAGAAGCGTGTTTTGAAGAAGGGCGACCTCATTGCTGTGCCAGTAGACCAGGAGCTGGGCAGAGCCATTACTTCTGCAGGTAGCTCGGATGAGCCGCCCAGCGAGGATGATACGATCAAGCAACTAAATGTACCAGGTCCTGCCGGCGCCTCCCGCTTCGCAGTCGCTTGGTTCTCCGTCCAGCAAATCCACGTAGACCAAACCGGAAATGAGGCAGAAGATGGCCAAAATACCTGGGGTGGAGTGGTCACACTGGACAGCACACAAACCAGGGCCTCTCAAAGTGGTAGTAGCGTCCAGTCGGTCTCGCATTCGATAGAGATATGGAGTCGTTACTGGTTTGGCATCAATAAACTGCCTCAACAGAACTCCCATCGGATCGAACACATTCCTACAGCAGCGGACATACCCCAAATGGACAGACTACCCCTGGAAAAGCGCCTGTCTGCCCTCATCTCCGCCGCTGTTAGCAATCGAGCCATCAGTCTCGGACTCCCACCCTTGGTCATATTGCTCTATTCTACTCAAAGGCAGATTGGGAAGTCATACATCGCCAAGTCGGCCTGTTCAGAGATTGGGGTGCACGTCTTTCCGATATCTGCCCATGATCTACTATCCGAGAATGCGTCCACAACAGGCGGCGGCGACACGAAGACCGAAGCATTGTTGCGCACGAGAGCTGAACGCGCGCTTTCGGGAGGGTCCCAACAGACAGCCCTCCTCCTCCAGCACATCGATGCCCTGACTGCGGATAGAATGGTGCCCGTTTTGCAGGAGATCATTTCTGAGTCTCGTGTGCTGATCGCTACGACGACCAAGATTGACGATATACCGGCAGGAGTGCGAAGCCTATTCACCCACGAATTCGAAGTGGCTGCGCCGGACGAGACAGCCCGAGAAGTCATCCTCCGTAATGCTTGCACCTCGATTTCCACGCCGCTCTCCAGCACCATCAATCTCAAATCAATCGCACTGCAGACTGCAGCGTTGGTCGCAGGTGACCTGTTGGATGTTGTGAATCGAGCGTCCACCGCACGGATGTCCCGCTTGTTGTCGCTCGCAGAAGGCCACGGCCGCAGCGTCTCCGACATCCTCATTTCCGGAGGCCAGGCAGCAAGCCATCTTCTACCCAGCGATTTCAACCGCGCAATAGCTGCGGCGCGATCGACCTTTTCCGATGCAATCGGGGCTCCCAAAATCCCGACAGTCACCTGGCAGGACGTGGGCGGGCTTTCATCCCAGAAAGACGCCATCATGGAAACCATCTCTTTGCCTCTCACGCATCCCGAATTGTTCGCCAACGGCATCCGAAAGCGCTCCGGCATCTTGTTCTACGGCCCGCCAGGGACGGGAAAAACACTGCTTGCAAAAGCCATTGCCACTGAGTTTAGTCTCAACTTTTTCAGCGTCAAAGGACCGGAGTTACTGAACATGTACATCGGCGAATCAGAAGCAAATGTACGCCGAGTCTTTCAGCGCGCGAGAGATGCTCGTCCATGTGTCGTCTTCTTCGACGAACTAGACTCTGTTGCGCCAAAGCGTGGCAATCAAGGCGACAGTGGAGGGGTGATGGACCGAATTGTCTCCCAACTTTTGGCCGAGCTCGATGGCATGTCCGGTGGAGGGGGAAGCAATGATGACCCCGACGCGAAGGAGACGTCGAATGCAGGCGGAGTCTTCGTCATTGGCGCCACGAATAGGCCGGACTTGCTGGATCCAGCACTGCTTCGACCCGGGCGATTCGACAAGATGCTCTACCTCGGCGTCGCCGACACGCATGATCAGCAGGTGACCATCCTAAAAGCCCTCACCCGCAACTTCACACTGGCGCCAGATGTGGACCTCATCAGAGTGGCAAGCCGCTTGCCTTTCACCTACACGGGCGCTGACCTGTACGCGCTATGCAGCGATGCCATGCTGAAAGCAATCACGCGCAAGACGCAAGCCGTCGACGAGAAAGTGCGCCAAATCAGCAAGGCGCGGGGCGAAGAGATCAGCACCGGCTACTTTTTCGATCATCTCGCCACGACCGAGGACGTGCAGGTCGTTGTCGACGAGGCCGACTTCGCCGCGGCGCAGAATGAACTGGTCGGCAGCGTCAGCAGCAAGGAGCTCGAGCACTTTGAGAGAATCCGCAAACTGTTCGAAGAGCAGGACATCACGGCCGGTGGACCGCCCAAGAACGGCGGTCCACAAGCTGCGCCATTGCCCGCGCCTGTACCCGTGCCCTTTCGTCCTGCCCCAGCTGTTTCGGCCGCTTCCGAGCCGCGATCGACCAACCACGCTGGGGATCCTGCACCATCAGCTCTTCAATCCCAGCCTAGTAGGGACAAAGGCAAAGCCAAGCAGCGAGAGAGCAGCAGCATCACCAATTCCCATCCAACCACAAACAGTACCTCCGCGCCCTTCCAGCCCACGCGCAACTCATCGTTCCACAAGTCCACAGCCCCGCGCCCCATCCCCATAGGCAATCCCAACTCGGGCAACTCCTCGGACGCAGACAACTCCGACTTTGGCGTCGTCAGTCCCAGAACCATGGCGGCGCACGTCAACGGCAAAGCCACCACCAGCGTGCCTAATGGGACGATAACCGCCTCGTCAGGCAGTCTGAGTCTGGACAAAGCAGCAAAACACGACGGTAAGGGTAAGGAATTGCTGCGAGAGATGCCTCCCGAAGCCGTGCCCGATGGGTTCGTGGACGACGTCGAAGGTGAAGACGAGGGGCTGTACGATGACTGATTGGACGGGAGAGGACATTGTCGGTGCATGCGGGAATACCGCAGAAAGAGAGACTGGACGCATGCATCCATATACACACGCTACGGTATGTAATAGCTATTGCCTGACATGGCATGGCATGGCAAGGTAAAGCAAGGCAGCGCAAGGCCCGACAAAGCGGAGGTTGCCCTGTCATTGGAAGCATTTTCGAGCGGCCATCAAAAGTACGTACCCACCAGTATCTCCAATATTTACAATGTCTACAATGTCTACGACATCTATTTCGGATGCATACCGTAAGAATCAAATGCCATGCTGAATGCAGGCATGCATGCATGGATGTCCTCCTTTGAATTGAGAACAAAGACCATACAGACAGACAGACAGACAGACCAATCGAGCCGCTTTCCAGGCTACGCCGTGCTCATGCTCGAGCTCTGGGAATTACATTCTCACTGTACAGTACAGTAGATCCGTAAAGTTTCCGTGTCTATTCGCGCGTCGTTTCGCTCTACCTGGTCGGTGTTCAATCGAACCAGATCAAATATCTCTCTTCCTCCTCCTCCTCCTCTTCCTCCTCTCTCACCTACCTACCTAATTGCTGCATCTCGTGTCTCCCTTTTCTCTCTTTTGAAACTTACCGTCTCCTACTGTACCTGTGCCCCATGCTTTTCTCAGAGCACATCCGGAGATATGTCCTGATGAGGCAGTACGTACGTGTGGGTTTGTGCGTACATGTACATATATGTGTCTCGCTATGCGGCGCGTGTGGCAGTGATATTGACCATGAAGACAGCGTTCATCTAGGTTAACTTCGGTTCAGTTTTGGTTTGAATCCTGTTGTCTATCTCGGAGTCATGCTGAACTTCAATGAAGCTCACCTCATCTCACCTCTCGGTCGGTATCGCTATTCATCTATCTACATATTCGCCTGGAGAGTACTCCGTAGTGTCCACTGATTTATTCATTTTGATCTCGGCGTCGGGCTTCTTTCGGGATGCGGTGTCGTCGTAAGGTGTGTTTATACTGTGGGAGGCGAGTCCGTCAAAAAGAGTGAAGCGGTGGATTCTGTAGCAGAAAATAAAAGAGAAGAGAGGAGATGGCTAGGGCCATAACATTAGTAAAAGGAAGAGGAGCACTTTGGTTAGGGGATACCGGGGGATTGTTCCTTGTCTTTCACTTGTGTCGATGAATAAATAGCTGGCTTTGACTTTGGCTGGGCAAGATATGCGGAAACTTCGCAGATCGAAGTGACGGGAAACGCCGAGTATGACGGAAGGGAGATGATGAGTACCTTATTGAGGCGCTCATACGCGGGCATGGCCTGGCAGCCAAAGTGCGCTGCTGCATGGTTGGAGTCAAGTCTGCCAACGCCGTATATGTTCCGCGTTTGTACTCCGTACTGGGTATGCCCACCTTTTTCAAGTTGAGCCAATGGGTCCGGGGCGTGTGAAGAGCCTAGAAATTGTGGTCTCCATCCTTCGGGACTCTTGTACAGAATCCTGGGGTAGCGATTTTGATTGGGTCAAGACGAAGCCCCTTCTTGTGATAGGTAGTTTCCGTCGCATTAATCGTCGGAGTAGGAGTAGGAGTAACATAGCTGGATCATGAAGCAAGTCTCGGGGATTTCCTGCCCGTCCTTTGCTCAGCTCGTCATCTCGCGCCACTGATAGCAAGCTCCGGATCTTCGAAATGCGACGCAGTCGGGCGCTGGAACCCATGTGAACCTTGTGAGATCAGAAGACCTAGAAGATCAGTCCATAGCCTCAGTTGTCATCATGACCTTGGTGAAGGTCGCGTCTTCTGCGACGTGCGCGTGCGTGATATCGACACTGTTTCAGCGAGTAGCAGGTCGTCCCATAAGCACCATTTTGCTTCTAGTGCCATACCAGGCGCATCGACACACATGTCAGGTAGGGAAATACACAGTCTTCGTCTGCAGGTGAAGCGCAAGCGAAGCAAGAATGTCCCAAAAAGAGGATAGAGCGCGGGCGCGTAATCAGAGATGTCTTACCGAATCACCGATTTCCTCTCCTTCGCGCATTTGACGGATGCGACCTCCAAGCGACCTCTCATGCCGATGTTGAGGTCGAACTTGTGGAAGATCACGCAGTTCCTCCCATATGCATGGCTCAGGGGAAGCGTGGATTCTAGCCGCGTTCGTCGGAGACTAAAATGCCGCAATCTCTTCGCTTGCTGAAACAGGCGTTCGACGGAGAATTATCTTGGGAAAAGTGGAGAGTAACGCTGTTGCATTGCGGAAGTGGAGTGGAAAGGGTGATGGAAGAAGTGGAAAGCATGCGCAAGGTTCAAGGAGGCGCCAGCGATGTCCGGCATGAGATGAAGTCGTAAGCTTTGCGTGGCATGTCCAGCCACCGAGTTAGTCCGCTTTGCAACTGAGACGGAGGCGGTTGAAGAGCCACAAGCATTGAGCACTTCCGGTCATTCATCTCAGTAGTGCCAGCGGACAGTTGTTCAGAGAAGAAAGGCGTGGAGGAAGGTCCAGCTCATGGCACATGTTTCTTCCATAAGGCCGTGTTGAAAAGCTCCATAGTATCTGCCTCCCTCCCTGGAGCCAGACTTGGACAAAGGACACCCGGTGCCTCGTAATACATAATATCTGCCATAGAAGCGGGCACCCCATCAGCCGGTGTCAATCATGGTTCCCATGGTTGAACTCATTCCCTTTGGCAAGAGGGCTCAAGTGTAGGTATTATGAAGCGAGCTGTGTCTCCGTGGGATCGGAAACCGAAAGGTCTCCCATCCAGGTCCCTGCTGCACTTCCCAAGTGTCGAGAACAGATGGCGCCTGACCAGCAGACCCCGACCCTCCCGTAGATTATATAAATACATGAAATTAGACAAGAAGTGTACATCCTCGTGTGGTTGAATGCGCACCCGGCACTTGCCAGCACTGTTGCTCGGTTGTTGCCCGTGTATAAGTCGAAGTCGCAGACAAGGCAAAATTAAGCCACTCTTTTCCTGTTCATAGTGCGCATGGGTATCATATACACATGTTTTCCCTTCTATAGTCGTAGAGGATAAAGCGAGAGAATCAAAGGGGGTTTTCATTGACCGCGGAATAGGCAGCGGATGAAGGAGGCGGACGAGTCGCAAAGCCGGATGCGCGGATACCCTGCTTCACAGGCCGTCACCTGCGGAGATCAGGCTTGTGAATGACCAGGTGGTGGATCATCCTGCCTAGGCACCGCCTGTGGTTCAACAGACGGGCTCTGAGCTTGCGGCACATCTCGAGAAATAGAAGCGATCGCCTGAGAGCGCTCTGGCCTCGCCAACAACCGGTCGGAAGGACTTTGAGCTGCGTCCGTACTGCGTCCATCGCCCGAATCATCAAGGGGAGACCTCGACAGCGGTTGCTGAGAGGGTCCTTCCTCGTCGCCCCGGCGCCTCGACCTCCTCTTGCCGCTGGACGTCTCATCCTTTGCCTCGATGTGCTGCTGAAGCGGCGTTGACATGACAGGCGAGGTCGTCGGAACAAATTCAGACAGCGAACTCGGCGTACCAGAGGGCCTGGATTTCTTTGTAGGCCTTCTTTTCGGCTCGTAAGTCTGACCCGACTCAGCAAGTCTCCGGTCGCGCTCTTCCGCCTCCTCCTTGGTGGGACGGCCGCGCTTTCTACGCCTCTCGCCGAGCGGTTCAGGCGGCCCAAACGCACGCAAGATCCTGAACTGCTCGCCGTTTGACGTCGGAGGAACTGGCGAGTCTGTCGAGCGAGGAGGTCGCGGCTGAATGGGTCGTTGTGTTGGCGGAGGCAGCTCAGTCTCCGGGGCCCCTCGTGCATCTGCTGGATATGGTGCTATAGGCTGGTGGTAGAGCCCAGACCCGGAAAAGGAGCGAGGTGAGCGCCGCAGGTGTTCGAACATTGCTCGACAGGCATTAAGAGTGCGCCCTAGATCCGGTCAGCGCATGTTCACGCTTTTGCGCAAGTCTGGCCAGCCGAGATGTCCTCTCGCATGGCCATTGCTGGTGCGCGCATTGGTCCCCCCGAGCGCTGGAGCCTACGTACCTGCTGGCAAAGCCATTTCCTCCCACCTGGGTTGTATATTGCCGCCCTCGATCGCGCGCAGCAGAAATTGAGGTACATCCTGCCCAGCGCTTTGGATAATGTTGGTCAACAATGCGATCTGCTCCGAAGGTGTCCATGGCTGGTTGAACAGATTTGACATTGGGAAGAGAGGGTGGGGGGCGCAAGCTAGGGTTTGAAGAGGACGGGCTGCATGTGACTGTCACCCAGTGCGCAATCGTGGGCGGCATGTAGGCACGGTTGTTTCCGCAGGGCAGTTCACCCAAAAGCGAGTATTAGAGCAGAAGCCGCTCGGGTCGAGGTTGGTGTCTAGGACGGAAAGGACTGTAGGTCAGTAATTCTGCTGGAGGGTCTGGGGCACCTTTAAGCGTGGTATACTGGGTGCCCTGCAAGCAACAAGGCGGAACAAAAATTCCTGGACCATGGAACAGAAGTCTGGTGCCAGTGCCCGGTGGTCCTTCTGCCTCGAGGCCAGTGAGGCAGGCGCAGACTCTAAGTTAGCCATCTGGGAAGAACAACTGGGCACCGACAGTCTAGGGAATGTCAGTGGCAGATGATCAGGAGACGCGGGTTGGCCAATGTCGGTCGCAGCTGCAAGACATGCGACGCCGCGCTGTGAGTGGCCGGCTGTGGCCGTCTGCGCAGGGAATTAGAGGTACGGAGTAGGTTGTCTGAGGGAAGGTTCCGTAGGGGAAGTCAGTCCGCAGAAGCTGCTGATGCTGGGAACTTAGTCAACGTAGCTGTCAAGTGGTGCGGGTTCCGGTGCTGTGAGTCGCGGAGCCCACGGCCCTGAAGCTGAGCCTGGCGAGGTCTGGGTCCGTCCGAAGCTGCAGACCTTCAGAGCTAGTTAGCATGCAGCAGGCTAGACTCTGATGAGAGCGCTGGTGGATGCAAGCCAGAGGTGGACGAGATCGAGGGTGCATGTCAGTGGTGGACGAGGGGAGGAAGCCTGTCTCCTGCAGCAAATCCAGTGCGGTTGTGGTTAGCACGGCCACGTCTTGGGTGCGGTTTGGTGCAGCTGGCTTCATGCTGGCAAGATTGATCCCCCATCAGTTTCCTGAACTCCGTGGCAGTGTTCGCGTCACTGGGCTCGGCCGTCTCCGCGCCCCTGCGTCACGCCGAAGATTGAAGGTCGCCTTTCAATTTCAGGTGCATTGCGCTGCCGAAGGACCAGCGGCATGCTCGACGATGATCGGTGCGACGCTTGATCAGGGTGATTTTGATAGAGGAGAGTGGAGGCGACATTCCGGGCGTCCGCAAATCAGCGGGCTTACCGTCGCGGGCGTGAGAGGTCGAATGGGGACGCCGAACGACGTGTTGGGGGCTACCCGAACCGCCGAATCAGCGGCCAGAGCACGCCCAAGCTTCGAAAGTGCGGGTGTGACCCTTCGCCCGTCGTGGCCCTCGCCCAACCATCCCAATCTCAATCAGAACTGCCTCGTTGCCTAACATCCAACAATTCCTCCCCGATAAATGGACCTTTCTGGACCGCGGCAGCCTCGTCTATTACGACTGGCGCGGAATCGACTCAACGCGAACATGCGAGCGGAAAGGAGGTGAGGGCAAGGAACCGAGGGCTGCATGGTGGCATGGCGAGAGACGACTTCTCCGGTGAAGAAGGGCCAACGACTCGAGATGCTGTGCGAGCTGATGAGCTTCCGCCATCGTGCACTCGTCCGCCGCCCGCTTCTACGCTCAGCATCCTGTGCACCGGGAGTTTCTTATATAGACATGCCGTTGTCGCTCTGACCGCTATTTGTCGTGACCTTCGGATACGCCAAACCACGCCAACGCAACAATGACGGAAGTTGGGCACTGGTGCAGAGCCACGTTGCGCGGTACGAGAGCTTTCCTTCTCTCGCCGCGGGAGCTAAACACACATTCGCCTCACTTTTAGTGAGCAGTTATATGCATTTATCAACGCGCTAATCTCGTCATCTCAGCATTCGCTGCATCCGATCTGTGTCAGGTGCTGTTCGATGCGCCGCTGGTGCCATCTAACCGGGTCCGTCTCAGCGAACGAATCCAACAAATCCTGCAGCAGGGTGATCGCCCGGAAAATTGAGTTCACCTTGCTGCCACTCTTGTGTCTACACGTGGCAGTGCTCATATGGACCGATCTGACATGACCAAGAGAAAATGGAAATTCTCTTACCTCTTTCGCTGACGCTGATAGTCGAGGGCGGGTTCGCGAGCCTCCGGCCAAGCTGTCAACGTGAGGAAATATCAGCCTGCTGCACCGGGGCCAAGCAGAAATCGCAACAGAAGAATATCTCGGAGATACTGTGTGTTGATTGTGACGATGAAGGGGGCACTAATGGGTTCAAGGATTCGTGCGAGGCAACGATGAAGGGATCGTAAGCTGAGGTCTGGCGCGCTCTGCCGGTGAGTGCGTGAATGGAGGTGACACAGAAGGTTCCGGTGAGAAACTATCAAGGAACCTCATACGGGACTCAAGATAAGTCCAGCCTTGCTGTTGACTTACACAGAGGGGGAAATTCTATCATCCGGCCAGGTATGATGTTGCTCGAGGGAGTTCTTGAAAGTAGCGGGATGCAGTGGGTGGTTACCACGGGCGCTGTTGCCTGTTACTTCAGTATCGGAGGCCACACATGCGAAGGCGAGCACCACACACAATGCTGAGGCCTCCTTAAGCCAGAAAACGATCCTTTCGCAACTGCTAGAAAGGCCAAAATAACACTCGAGGTCTGAACTGGTTCGTTCAGTACCCAAATTGTGTACTGAAAGTATCCACGAAGGATACAGTTACATTGGAGTCTTCTTGTCATACAGTCTTCTGGACACTCAGCCTGGGAACGCTGCCAATCTTTGGTTTTGGTGGCAGGATAACCACGATACATCCATCTCAAGGGTGTACCGTCGTTGAAGCTCGGGTTGGGTGTCCCAGGAAGATAGGTCCAAGTGTCACCCACGCAGGGTAGCTTTTTATGTATTGGCTAAGTGTATCCCTACGCACAAGCCCTTCCTCACGCTTGTCAACATTGTGTATTTCCCTCAATACCAATGCACTCATTTCCGCTGTTGACCCATGCAAGCGGACCTTATTTTGTCATCACCAACGACCTCCGTCTCGGGAGAAATTCCACGGGACCACTTAGGAGATACCTCCGTAGCGATGCTCTGGTTTTGTACCCTCAATATCCACCCTCTTGACGCGAAAAAACCAAGCCCATCTTCCCGCTCTGGACACAAAAAGCGTGGTCACGTGATAAGTCTATTCCGCGAAACCTTCCCGCCGGTCACAACCTTCCAAGCGCGTATTCTGCTCGCATTTGTCCATTCTTTCTGTTCAAGACATTTCTACACCCACAAGAACATCCGGTGGACTCGCGCTGCCGGTCTGGATAATCCAGCTCGTCACTATGTCGCAAGCTGTCTCAAACGTGCCGTCTGTGATCTCAAACGCCGCAAATGCCAGACAGCAGGTTCCACTACGAGACTACCTCAACGCACGTGTTGCGCCCTTTCTGAAGAAGGCTATCACAGAGAGTTTGAATGCCGAGTATGTGTTCCCCAGGGTCTAGAGAGAGCCCTGGCTCCCGCGCACAGAGCCACAGCGCTAATGTAGCCGAACAGGGCGGAATTCCCTCTCCAGTGGCTGGGAGAATGTCTAATCCACCAATCTTTCCTTTACGAAGGCAACCCCGACAGGACCAATATCCGCGAGAGGTTTCTCTACACATTCGACGACCCTAAGCCGGTAGAGCAGGTGAATGCCGACTCCACGGCACCACCACCACCCGCAACGCAATCTGCTACCGGTGGTTCGCCGCAAGGAGTCCCTTCACAAGAGCAATCCGAAGTCTCAATGGCTGAGGTAGTACCCGAGATCTCTACACAGCAAGCACCGCCTGCGCAAACCAATGAGATATCCACGCCACAAGCAACTGTGACACCCGATATTCCACCTGTCAATGGAGTTAAAGAGGAGGGAGGAGCTACGAATCAGGGATCAGACGGGGATACGGATATGGGGGGGGGCTTCATGAGCGAACGATCGTCAAACCGTAGGTTGCATAGCGTTGGCGTTTGTGTTCAAGAATCTTGCATGGGTGCAGGAAATAAAATATGATACCCCTTTCAGTAGCGGAATGGTGGAAAGCAAATCTTGCACTTCACATACGTGCACAACTCCCATCGCGCCTAGCGAGAGGAATGGGAGGGAAGCGCTGGACATGAAGGGGGCGCCTCAGAAAGTCGGAGCATCCGATGATCGATCGCTGAGAATAATTATTGCTCTACACTTCACTCCACACATGGGCCCGGGAACGAACCCTACGATATGAGAGAGACATCTAACCTGCACTATGAACCAAGTCAGCGCCCAAGTTCCCGATCATGGTAGGTAACAGCAGAGTTTAACAAGGAACAAAAAATCAGAAGTCCATTTAGATCATCGAAGAGAACCCTGTTGGGCTTCCCTTCTGGCATAAGAGGTACCAGAAATAATAAATTTTCGTGTTTTGTCATCATAGAGAAAGGCAATAACGAAGAACCATGAAAAATAAATCAACGTACCTTGAAGGAATGGCGAAATGGCCCGAGGTGGTAAAGTCAACGGACAGAAGTCTCCAAGCGGCCATCTCGGGCGGCGCTCGTGCTATGCACCGTTCTCCATGATTATTCCGGGGCAGTCTCTTTCAATTAGCATCGGGCACTCGAGAGTAGAGATGAACTTGAACTCAAGTTCAAGGTAGATTAATTAAAAGGCAAACTCGTCACAGCCAAAACTTTGGAGCTGTCAAATATTTCAAAAGACGCCAAGAGTTGTAGTGGACCCACCACACACAGGCTGATCCATCAAAGCTGCGGTCTAACTTTCCCAAAGTCACAATTGCTGAGACTCTCAGTCCTCACTCCTCTCAACAACCGCAAAAATGGGTCGCCTACACAGCAAAGGCAAAGGTATCAGCGCCTCCGCGATCCCATACTCCCGCTCTGTGCCTACCTGGTTCAAGTCCACGCCCGAGACGGTCGTAGACAATATCTGTAAACTTGCACGCAAGGGTGCTACCCCGTCGCAGATCGGTGTCGTGCTGAGGGATAGCCATGGTGTTGCGCAAGTGAAAGTCGTTACTGGTCAGTCCACAGCCGATAGATTTGCTCAGCTGGCACCTGGTGCAGGATTTGCTGACTTTCGGGGCGCAGGTAACAAGATTCTGAGAATCCTCAAGTCGAACGGTATGCGCACATCTCGAACGACCCCTGTGTGAAAGAGGAGGCATACACCCGAAAAACCCAGCAAGGAAAAGCTGCTTTAATCATGGCATTACACCACTTGGAAAATATCTCTTCAGCACAGCCTCTGAGATTGGTCCCACGAGACTGACAGAGTGATGTTCTACAGGTCTTGCACCAGAAATTCCAGAAGACCTCTACATGTTGATCAAGAAGGTGCGCAACAACCCTCATCTCCCCCCTCTGTGCGAAAGAAGCCTGTATCCGATCACGTGCCGTGGAGATTGACCCCTGTGAATAATAGGCCGTTGCCGTCCGCAAGCACCTCGAGCGCAATCGCAAGGACAAGGACTCCAAGTTCCGACTCATCTTGATCGAATCCAGAATCCACCGTCTGAGCAGATACTACAAGACCGTGGGTGTTCTGCAGCCCAACTGGAAATACGAGAGCGCGACGGCAAGCACGATGGTGGCATAAGAGCATCTTTTCTCGCTCTGGATAACTTGTTCGAGGATGGAGGAAGGCCTGTGGTTCGTCATGACGGGCTGATGGACTGATGGACGTGCGGATGCAGGTGTTCAAGGGCAGAAGCGGAGGTGGTGGACAATAGCACAGGCAATTGATGCCAGCATTAGCGATGCACATGCACAAAAGATCTTCATAGCTCAGCATCATCGCAGTTGGAGGACAAGCGTAGAATACGCCTGCTGCGCGGAGCAGAGTCTTCCCAAAACTAGGTCAATCTCAGAGCGAGGCTGGTCACGAGTAGGTGAAGCCCGATCAAGGAAGGATTCTTCACACACTAGCAGGGTTCTGGTGCACGGAATCTTGTTCTTTCCAAGCTGTGGAGCGATGTTCCGCACATTTCTTGTGAACCCGTCCATTACCTTTGAAAGTATAAGATGGCACGAGGCCGACATCGACATGCAGGCCACTATGGGAAAGACCTTGAGGCCCCGTATACGGAGGAGTCTAGGGCCATAACAACACAATGATATTCGAGATGGACAGGATCCAACCATACAAGATGTTCATGATGTGGACTGCTCGCAAGATGGCCATATCCAACCATGTTATTGACAATGCTGAATCGCTCAATCTGGGCTGAAAGCCGTTGATACATGCCGTTGTTGAAACACAATGGGCAAAGGTTCGTCCGTATGAAGCGTACATGCGGTATCCCGGCAATGCTGAAAGATGCGCCAACCGTGGGTATCTTAGAATGCACTCGACGAACGCCTCCCGGATGCCACTGAAGAATGAGGGAATGATGTTGACTGGATTCAAACCGAACCTCAACCTCCTTGACTGACACCCCCAGTCTGTTGCAAAGCGGCAACCTGTCTGCGGAGATCAAGCCAGAAGTCCTTCCCGTTGGCCATGGATCCAGCTGAAAACAGCGTCAGTCATCATAGCGGGTGGTTACACATAGTACTCACGCTTTGCGCCCCATGGACTCGATGGACTCGGGGCCTGTGACTTCGCATCTGGCTTGTAGAGAGAGGTCTTGGGCTCGTAACCTTGCTTCAGCATGGCCTCAACAGCCCCAGCATTGAACCCCGCCATAGGGATATGGTCATCTGGTGGCGGAAGAGAGGTCGCAGGTGCGTTGGGACCATTGCGGACGTTGTCTGTAGATTTGCTCAAGTTCGAGGGTCCCTTTCCTCCTCTTCTGTTCTGATTGGCATTGGTGCCATCTCGGGACACTGCAGATGCAGAGGTCGACTGACGATGCAGGTTCGAGTTGGCACCTCGGGAATCGTTTCCTCGGCGTCCTGCGCGGTTTCTGTTGTTGGTCATTTGGTAAGCGTACGACATGCAACGGGGATGGAGAGCGGTGCAGATTGAAAGCTGGCCGAGTGTGGTATGTACTTACTCTTCACTGGGATTCATGGGAGAAGAGAGGGTGTGGCAGAACGATACAGTGGTGACTGCCAGGTGCAAGTGATTGCGAATAGGCGCGACCGGCCCGCAGATACGACGCCAAGCCCCCAACTTACAAGCGGGGCCCACTTTTCGATCGTCGGGGAGTCGCGCTTAACCGAATCGACATTTGACGGCCATCTTGTAGAGACGACACTCGATGAGATCCTGCCGAAAACCGCGACACCTGGACGCCGACAACATCTCACACTGTTCTTTCCCAACACCCCCGTGACCTCTCCTCCCTGTGTTCCACTCCAGCTCACTCTTTCCAGCCTGGATGGCATCTTTCGCACGCGAACCCGACCCGCAGTCCGCGTGCGCCTCCTAGTTGTTGTCGAGTCGCGTCAACTGCCCGTTACCAGGCGGGCAGAATGGCCCCGCTGAGGTCTGCGCAGGCAAGAGCACGGCCGCGCAGAGAAGCATCAAAGTATCCAAAAGTTGTCAGCGACATCGACCCTGAACTTCTCGCCACTTTCCAGGACGACGAACCTCCCCGCAAACGCATTCGTACTTCGTCAAGGGCGGCACCTTCACCGAAGCGGACCCCTGCCGCCCGAGCAGGCGGAAGGAGACGTGCGGATTATGAGGATACTCCACCTACGACGCGAACGCCTCAACCAGACGACGAGTACGCCATCTCCCGCACCCGCCCCAGGCCTGCCCGAGAACGGAAGAAGGCAACCGCCACTACCCCGCGATACTCGGCCAGAAGCAGGAACAGAGGTGGCGCGCGTCCCAGATACAGCACTGCTGCGGCAGCTTCTGCCGCAGTGACCCATGGCGACGGCTACAAACCTCGAGAAGAGCGGGGTTGGGAGGAGTTTCACCCTGATCTTGATCTCGATGGCGACTTTGCGGTAATCCCGTCGGAAGAGGTGGACGGCCTGATTAAGAAACCAGCTCCCGATGAAGCGATCGATGATGGCATGAGCGTGGCCGGAGGGAACGGTACTGCGCCTGGTGTCTCCACACCCATTAAGCGAAAGCCAGGGAGACCCCATCGCACCAAAAACTCCATGGTGCACGCGCTTTTGACACCTGAGGTCCCCAAAGTCATACCTATGCCAGGCCCGAACCCCCGGGAACGGCTGACACTGCCAAAACCTTCGTATCGCGAGCTCGATCCGTTTGTATCGTACGAGCAGAATAAGGACATCGCACAGGTTGATTTTGTCGACAAGTCCATGGCGAATGTTGGGTATCAGGAGAGCGAAATATTCCTGCGGCCGGAGCGCACCCTCATAAGACAAATGGAAGGCTCTGCAGAAGAGGACCTTGACTTAAGTCCTGACTTGATCGTTAATGGCGAAAACTCAGCAATAGGCAGCAGCGGCGTTGGCCGGGTCGAGTACGACATGGACGAACAAGATGTCAAATGGCTCGAAGCCTTCAACAAGAGCCGCACAAAGTATGATGTGCAAAGCATTAAACCCGCTATCTTCGAGATCACCATGACGAAGATCGAAAAAGAGTGGCACGCTTTGGAGAAGAGGATACCTAAGCCGAACCCAAAGGCTCCCCAGACACAGCGGCCTCGCTCAAGCTCCGCTGCCGCGGTTAATGGAGAACCTGCTGGTGAAGAGCCTGACAGCAAGTGCGCGATATGCGACGACGGTGACTGCGAGAACGCCAACGCCATAGTGTTCTGTGACGGTTGCGATTTAGCCGTACATCAAGAATGCTATGGCGTACCTTACATTCCTGAGGGCCAGTGGTTGTGCAGGAAGTGCCAGCTTGTTGGGAACTCTCGACCTAGCTGTATCTTCTGCCCGAATGAGGGGGGTGCGTTCAAACAGACCAATAACTCGAAATGGGCGCATCTCTTCTGTGCAATCTGGATACCAGAGGTGACGATCGGTAATCCTTCTCTGATGGAACCGATCACAGACGTGGAGAAGGTACCTCACAGCCGGTGGAAGCTCACCTGCTACATCTGCAAGCAAGAGATGGGTGCCAGCATCCAGTGCAGCGACGGCCGCTGTTACGAACCGTTCCATCTGACCTGTGCCCGGCAAGCGGGGCTATTTCTGCAAATGAAAACCGGAGGCGGACAAAATACTCTGATGGACGCATCTCAGCTGAAAGCCTATTGCCATAAACACACGCCTGGCGATTGGAAGCGTCAGCATCATACCGACAAAGCGTATGAAGAGGCGGTCAAGTACTTCAAGGAACACTTCAAGGGACAAATATGGGCGGACAGCCGTGCATCTGCCCTTGCAATCCACGATACGCACGATACCGCCACGGCGGAGAGAGGCCATCTCAAAGTCATCCTCACGAACAAGAAAGGTCAGAAGCAGAAGACGGTCTGGCGACTTCCTTCCGGGGCACCCGTAATACCGGAGGTCATACTGAAGTCGATCGAAGAGTCTCTGGTCAGGTTTACTGTGCAGAAAAAGAAAGAATATGTCTCCGAGATTTGCAAATACTGGACCCTGAAACGCGAGGCACGAAGAGGGGCCGCCCTTTTGAAGCGGCTACAATTACAGATGGACACCTTCAGCTCCTTCGAAGTCACTCGCCGCGATTACAAGGCCCAAGGTGCAGCCGGCCGTGCCAGGTTAGATCGCCGCATTGAGTTTGCCCAAAGACTGGCAAAAGATATGGAACGAATCGTACAGATTTGTGACCTGATCAAACAACGCGAAGCCGCGAAGCTGGAGGAAGCCAGACTGCTCAAAGATGTCGTTGACACTGTGTACTTTCCCATCCCACATCTCCTGGAGCCTATCGTCGAGAAGGCGCTCAAGTAAGTTATCACAGATTGAATCATGAAGTGCTACGCTGACCGACCATAGATTGGATAGAGGACTCTTCCGGAACAGCCTCCTAGCATTACGCGGCAAAGTGCTCAGAAAGGAATACACCACTGTGGTCAGCTTCTCCAACGACGTGGTGCTGGCGATCAACTCGGAATTTGGCAATAATGCCTCAAGCATATCAGAGTTAATTGCCCTAGTAAGCGGTAGAGCCGAGGACATGTCTGCAGAAGAGCGGGATCGACGAACCCTTGCACGGCGCATTGTCAAGGGGATTGAGCCACTCCTCGAAGACGCAACTCGAAAGGAAGCAGAGTTGAATGGCCGGCCCTACGCCGAACAGATTCGGGAAATGGACGAAGCGCTCCTTTCTCGACGGGGCTCGATGGCCCAGTCAATAGAGATGCCGGTCCTTGATCGAGTGGTTCTGAAACCTGAAGGCGGCATCGCCAGCCCTGCGGAGGGGGACATCGAGATGTTGGATGCTCCGATCGCAGGCGACGAGCAGCACCAAGTCCAAGACGCAGTCAAGGAGTCTCAAGCGCCAGTTGGGCAAGTAGTCCTGGTCAAGCACGAAGACCTCTCTGTGGAGAGTCAACTTGTGTCAGCAAACACTCCGCCGGCTTCCATGAACGGGTTCAGGCACGAGTTGCAAGCGAATGGGGACATTTCATCGGAACCAGTACAGCAGGTGGAACCTCCAACACCTCCAATGAGCCTGCAAGGGCATTCACAGACCCTCCTGGTCGAAGGCGGCATCCCCTGGTATGTTGCGCAATTCGACCCTGAAGGCACTACCATTTTTGAAGAACGCTGGACGGGCCCCGAAGTGCTACGCGACATGAGCGAAGAACTTAGTGAGATGGATGAAGACGAGCTTCAGGGTCTAGGTCCAGGTGACGAAATGGTCGAAAATCACCAGGCCGTTTCCCTTGGTGACGAGGCAGAAGGCGCCACCGTAGATGTGATGGTCAAAAAGAAAATCCTGAGGGGCAAGCGGAACAAGGCCTCTGACTGGGGTACAAGGTCCTTCCGCAACAGAAGATGAGCGTGGTAGATGACATTATTGGATGTATGAATTGGCCAGGTCATAGGCCGAACCTTCTTGAGTGACGCTCCATGTGAGTGAGTATTAGTAGTGTTCAATCCAAGACGCTCATCGGTTGTGTTCACGAAACCGTTCACTCTTGGGGTCAGGTCACGGAATCTTGCACCAAGAACCACCATAGAGACTACCGAATCAGCGGACGATTCGTGCTAGGGCGGCCAAGCTTGGCTTTAGTTCGATCATGCCTTTCGTCAGAGAAAAGTAGAAAGATCCAGCGCGTCCAGCATCTGTTGGAAACCAGGGTATGCATTCATGAGGGACATGCAGGCAACGGCCGCCATACTCAGGGTCACCCCCCAGGCAGGGGCAGGCAAGCGTGGTAGCCAGTCCCGTGGATCTCAGGGTAAGTGGAGGAGTGGACCATGGCGTGGTGCTTGGGAAGAGCAGCACAAGTTCAGTACCACCATGCCGTTTTCCCAGTCCCATCGTTGTAGGGATTCACCGAGGAGTTTTACTTACAGTACCATAATTGCCATGACGGTTGTGGTCCTGAGCTTGACCATCCAGTTCCTAGTGAAGGTCGTGACATGCGCAGTCGATTACACTAACTATTTAGCACCCACAATGGTCGCTGCCGGCAAGGTGCATCAACAGAAAGGTAGATGAGGAGCCACGGATTTTATCGATGTACCTTGGAGCCGATTGTTGAGCCAGGTGGTCAGGTACCAGGCTCCACGAAGAACCCTGTCAGTGCGCGCACGGATGCCGGAAGAATGCTTCGCCGCTTCCGGTTCCGATTTCCGTTAGCGTATGAGTAGCCTTGGCGCGTGTCGACTGGAAATTTCGCCTGCGTGGTCATCTCATCGTAGCCTCATAAACAATTGACTATCGGAAGCAGCCATCAACATATCCATCTCGACCAATTCAACACTTGACTCGCTACTCTCAGAAGTAGATTCTCTTTCTCCTTCGTGCCTTATTGCCGTCCCACGCCTAGAGCGTCGCGTTCAAAGGCCACCATTTGACCTCATTGCCCCTTGATCAACATCACCTTCGCCCGCAGC